ATCAAGAGACGTTCAAGATGATATTCCTTTAATTCAAAATAGTGTAATTTCTCTTAATTGTATGATAGAAAAGTTTTACTTGCGGATTGAAAATATCTATTTTTGCTAAAATGATAAAAAAATTGCATCGGAAGAAAGAATGTGGTTTTAGTTTGTTTTCTAAAACTCAATTTATTTAGACGATCAATAGACGTTGAAGTTGATATTCCTTTAATTCAAAATAGTGTAATTTCTCTTAATTGTGTGATAGAAAAGTTTTACTTGCGGATTGAAAATATCTTTTGTTGCTAAAATGATAAAAAAATTGCATCGGAAGAAAGAATGTGGTTTTTGTTTGTTTTCTAAAACTCAATTTATTTAGACGATCAATAGACGTTCAAGTTGATATTCCTTTAATTCAAAATAGTTTAAATTCTCTTAATTGTGTGATAGAAAAGTTTTACTTGCGGATTGAAAATATCTTATGTTGCTAAAATGATAAAAAAATTGCATGGGAAGAAAGAATGTGGTTTTTGTTTGTTTTCTAAAACTCAATTTATTTAGACGATCAAGAGACGTTCAAGATGATATTCCTTTAATTCAAAATAGTGTAATTTCTCTTAATTGTGTGATAGAAAAGTTTTAATTGCGGATTGAAAATATCTATTTTTGCTAAAATGATAAAAAAATTGCATCGGAAGAAAGAATGTGGTTTTAGTTTGTTTTCTAAAACTCAATTTATTTAGACGATCAATAGACGTTCAAGTTGATATTCCTTTAATTCAAAATAGTGTAATTTCTCTTAATTGTGTGATAGAAAAGTTTTACTTGCGGATTGAAAATATCTTTTGTTGCTAAAATGATAACAAAATTGCATCGGAAGAAAGAATGTGGTTTTTGTTATTTTTCTAAAACTCAATTTATTTATACGATCAATAGACGTTGAAGTTGATATTCCTTTAATTCAAAATAGTGTAATTTCTCTTAATTGTGTGATAGAAAAGTTTTACTTGCGGATTGAAAATATCTTTTGTAGCTAAAATGATAAAAAAATTGCATCGGAAGAAAGAATGTGGTTTTTGTTTGTTTTCTAAAACTCAATTTATTTAGACGATCAATAGACGTTGAAGTTGATATTCCTTTAATTCAAAATAGTGTCATTTCTCTAATTGTTTGATAGAAAAGTTTTACTTGCGGATTGAAAATATCTTTTGTAGCTAAAATGATAAAAAAATTGCATCAGAAGAAAGAATGTGGTATTAGTTTGTTTTCTAAAACTCAATTTATTTATACGATCAATAGACGTTGAAGTTGATATTCCTTTAATTCAAAATAGTGTAATTTCTCTTAATTGTGTGATAGAAAAGTTTTACTTGCGGATTGAAAATATCTTTTGTAGCTAAAATGATAAAAAAATTGCATCGGAAGAAAGAATGTGGTTTTTGTTTGTTTTCTAAAACTCAATTTATTTAGACGATCAATAGACGTTGAAGTTGATATTCCTTTAATTCAAAATAGTGTCATTTCTCTAATTGTTTGATAGAAAAGTTTTACTTGCGGATTGAAAATATCTTTTGTTGCTAAAATGATAACAAAATTGCATCAGAAGAAAGAATGTGGTATTAGTTTGTTTTCTAAAACTCAATTTATTTATACGATCAATAGACGTTGAAGTTGATATTCCTTTAATTCAAAATAGTGTAATTTCTCTTAATTGTGTGATAGAAAAGTTTTACTTGCGGATTGAAAATATCTTTTGTAGCTAAAATGATAAAAAAATTGCATCGGAAGAAAGAATGTGGTTTTTGTTTGTTTTCTAAAACTCAATTTATTTAGACGATCAATAGACGTTGAAGTTGATATTCCTTTAATTCAAAATAGTGTCATTTCTCTAATTGTTTGATAGAAAAGTTTTACTTGCGGATTGAAAATATCTTTTGTTGCTAAAATGATAACAAAATTGCATCTGAAGAAAGAATGTGGTTTTTGTTATTTTTCTAAAACTTAATTTATTTATACGATCAATAGACGTTGAAGTTGATATTCCTTTAATTCAAAATAGTGTAATTTCTCTTAATTGTGTGATAGAAAAGTTTTACTTGCGGATTGAAAATATCTTTTGTAGCTAAAATGATAAAAAAATTGCATCGGAAGAAAGAATGTGGTTTTTGTTTGTTTTCTAAAACTCAATTTATTTAGACGATCAATAGACGTTGAAGTTGATATTCCTTTAATTCAAAATAGTGTCATTTCTCTAATTGTTTGATAGAAAAGTTTTACTTGCGGATTGAAAATATCTTTTGTAGCTAAAATGATAAAAAAATTGCATCGGAAGAAAGAATGTGGTTTTTGTTTGTTTTCTAAAACTCAATTTATTTAGACGATCAATAGACGTTGAAGTTGATATTCCTTTAATTCAAAATAGTGTCATTTCTCTAATTGTTTGATAGAAAAGTTTTACTTGCGGATTGAAAATATCTTTTGTAGCTAAAATGATAAAAAAATTGCATCAGAAGAAAGAATGTGGTATTAGTTTGTTTTCTAAAACTCAATTTATTTAGACGATCAATAGACGTTGAAGTTGATATTCCTTTAATTCAAAATAGTGTAATTTCTCTTAATTGTGTGATAGAAATGTTTTACTTGCGGATGGAATATATCTTTTGTTGCCAAAATGATAAAAAAATTGCATCGGAAGAAAGAATGTGGTTTTTGTTTGTTTTCTAAAACTCAATTTATTTAGACGATCAAGAGACGTTCAAGTTGATATTCCTTTATTTAAAAAATGTTTAAATAAAAAGTTTTACTTGCGGATTGAATATATTTTTTCTTGCTAAGATGTGATGGAAAATTTGCTTCAGAACATAGAAAGCCATTTTTGTTTGTTTTCTAAAACTCAATTTATTAAGACGATCAAGAGTCGCATCAGAAAGTAATTTCTTTATATCAAAAATGTGTCAATTTAAATCTGGCTTATTCTCGATTTTTTTTTCTTGGATTTTTATTGTTTAAGAAAAATAATATCCTGCTCTACATGTGTTGGCTGTTTCTCTCAATCATCGCTGAGAAAGCTCATGAAATGTGTCTGTATCCCGCAGCCGAAATATATATATATTGTTTATTATTAAAAAAAAAAAACTTGCAAAAACCCACTGAGGATTAGCTGAATTTAAATTCAAATCACCATGAATCAACCTTTGATTGTGAACTGCTGCTTCAAAATTTTTTATTTGGTTAACATAGTTTAAAAAATAATTTATAAACATTAGACAATTAATTATTTAATTTTATTTTTTTACAAATTAAAAATATTTATTGATTAAAGCTGATGAAAACAGTTAAAATTGTAAAATAAATACAGTTGAAATTTATGTGTTCCTTTTACAATTAGCATCTTGAATTTATGTTATCGTTGATCTTCAGTTGCCCTCAACTACGATTAACACATTTCCCATTATCAAGATTGTCAATTGTGCCTTCAAATTCCCTATTATAGGCTTTCAAATAGTTGCTCTATATTTTCATGATTCATTCCCTTCTGATTTGCTTTGATTAATTTTTGAAAATTTATCATTAATTTATAATATTAAAAAAAATTTGTCTTAAATAATGATTTTCTTTTTTTAAGCTTGTTTAAATTGATAAAAGTTTGGGATAAAGATTTTCGTTTCAACTATGCAATTTAACGAGATCGCAGAGCTCTAGGACAGCTATAGGATTGGATTAAAAAATTGATTTCGGATTGAGTTTGCATTATGCTTTACGCAGTTGCAATGCTTTTTTTCATGTTTGAATTTTGAAAATAAATTAAATTACTAATCCATATACTATATCATTTGAACAATTACACAGAACGCCTACGAGATGTCCAGAACTACAGGCGTTGGACGCTCCCTTGCGCCTCTGGGCCGCTGATCTGCACGGAACCCGCTTAGATAAGTTGAAATTGGTCGTCCAACTTTCTCTTTGTGATTCGTCCCGAAACCTTCCAGGCACCCTGTGGACGTTCATGGTCCATGGGGGCTTCCGGCCGCGGTCCTTGCAGCCGGGAAATCTTCCCGTGACGGAACCTCGGTCCGGAAATCTGGCACGGCCGCTCGCTACCAGTGAGAAAAAGCACCGTCTCTCTCCGGAGTCCCCGACTTGGCGACTTCGCTGTCGAAGGTCGGCGTTGCAGCGCGGCCATCTAATTTAGGAAAAATTTTCATAATGGAAAATGTCTTTATTCGAGTTCAAAGTTTTCCCTCTGGAATTTCCGAAATTTGTTCGCACTCCATAAGATTAGCCTGGCAAAGTCTTGGCTGTTCTTCTGGAATTCACTTTAATTTCTTGCTCCTCAATTTCTCCTAATTCTCAGTGAATTTGGCAAAAATTAAATTAGACTTCTGGTTCGAAAGTGTCATGGACAAATTTTATTTCCAATTTTCACTGCCCTGGTGTACTAAAAACTTTTCTTTCCTCAGCTTCTACTTGGAAAAATCTGCAAAAATGTCTGCACACCGTCAGCAAGCTGGCGCAGGCAACCCTTTGACGTTGCCGAATGACGGGACACCCTCTGCTGGGGCATCCAACTTCGCTGAGGCTGTGGCCATTGACCTGAGCGCACGGTGTTTACATCATCGCCGACGCTGCCCTTCGTTGGCTCCATCACCAAGCTACTGCTGCCAACCTCTTTGAAGTCCTGAATTAATTTGGCTCGCTCCCACTTTTTTTTCAAAATCCAAATTTTTTTTATTTTCCAATTTTTTTTTTTTTTTTTTTTTTTTTTTTTTTTTTTTTTTTTTTTTTAATTATTTTATGAAATTTAAAACTTTTCCCGTTCATTACTGTAGGTGAGGTGTTTTCATTTTTAACATTGACTGGCATTAATTTTATGGTTAAAGAAAGAAAGAAAAAAAGAAGAAAAATCCTCATTGTTGCAAACAGAAATTCTCAATTTTTCATTGTTGGTCAGAGGATTCAAAATAAAACGGTTCTTGAGCGAATTTGACATTTCAAGCTAACGAATTCTGCAAGAGATAATGAATTTTGACCAGGAACCTGCTCCAGATCCAAAATGTAAGTATTATTCTCTTTGTTTTTGGTACTTTAACAGGTGGATTCGTGAAAAAAAATGATTATTTTTGTTTTTAAAGAATTTGAAGAAATTTTCATTTCAACAGGGATCCCTGGAGTGCAGAAGCCCATCGATCACAAAGACTTGATTGAGATGAGCAACTTGGACGGGCAGTCCACATATGCCAGGGACTTTCCCAAGAACCCAACGGCCACCCCGGCTGAGCTGTTGCCGGACAACCTGCACCCTTTGCCCAGCGAGATCACGTCCGAAACTTGGTACTCGTCGGAGATCCTGAGCAACTGCAATTTGGACGGCCAGTCCATGTTTGCCAAGTACCCAGCGGCCACCCCGGCTAAGCTGTTGCCCAACAAAACCAACCTGCACTTTTTGCCCGGCAAGATCGACTCTGCAGCATTGTACTCGTCGGAGTTCCAAGAGCACGAGGGCGACGGAAATTGCTTGATTACAGATCGCGATTGTCCTAATGAAGAACACCTCCTCCAGTTCCTCAAGCCTCCATTTGCAAAAGGAAGAAATGAAGGTAATTTGAAGAAAAAATATACTAAAGATAATAATTTTACATTAGCAACATAATATGAGATAAAGAACCCCACGTAAAACTTGACTGTTAAATAAAATTCGAGCGCTGGATATAAAATTAATTTTGCATTCGATTTCGTTACAGATTACAAAAACCAGTTGGTTTTTTTTGAGGCAGCCCAACTGGGTTTGAAATACGTTGGAAAGGCAGAACCTGAAGAGCCTTTGGAGGAGCTGGACCCTGACTGGTTGGAAGGTTACTTCCAAAGCATAGAAAAAAAAGAAGTGGAGCCCCAGAAAAACAACGCAGACAATTCTGACCTTGTTTTTGAGAATGAAGAGGACATGGAATTTGTGATGGATAACATCTTGGATGTTAATTTGGCTCCCACTGAATGTGCCATGAGTGATTTTGACCCCGAAACGTTGCTGCCCTTTGACGAGGCGGACTATCAAATTTTGGAAAATCTGATCCTCCAGGAGCTCCAGGAGACAGCCTTTGATTCAGACAAAATCGTTGGTGAAGCTGAACAGGAGCAGGAGCATCCCTGGATCATCCACCAAAGTGAATGCGAGCGTTTGCAGATGACTAATGAAAAAAGGGACCTGAACAAAATGGTTCAAGATTACAAGACCCCGGCTGAGCTGTTTCCGGACAACCTGCACCCTTTGCCCAGCGAGATCGAGTGCGGAACTTGGTACTCGTCGGAGATCCTGAGCAACTGCAATTTGGACGGCCAGTCCATGTTTGCCAAGTACCCAGCGGCCACCCCGGCTAAGCTGTTGCCCAACAAAACCAACCTGCACTTTTTGCCTGGCGAGATCGAATCTGCAGCATTGTACTCATCGGAGTTCCAAGATTGTCCTGATGAAGAACACCTCCTCAAGTTCGTCAAGCCTCCATTGGCAAAAGGAAGAATTGAAGGTAATTTGAAGAAAAAAAACAATTATAAAGATTAATAAAAGATTGAAACCGGGCGAACCTCGTTGCAAAGAAAAAAATGAAAAAATAAAGGACAACTGACCCCAAAGGCGACCTGCGGTCTGCTGGTACTTTAAAACCTAGGATTTCTTGTGTCCGACTAAAACTAAGTGGGAGGAATTAATAAAAAATTAAAAATAAAATGGGAGATTTTAATTTTAATAAACAAAAATTGCAGAAATTAATTAAGCAAAAGAGTCAGTCAACAGCTTCATACTGTGATTTTGGCAGAAATTTCCAGGGCAATGAACCCAAAGACTTTTCTGGCAAAATCACAGTATTCTGCCGCACTACTGGTTAGGACAGCTGTTTCGGCCAATCCAGGCCTCATCAGCTAACCTGAGTGCCGGTCCTCTCCTTTCGGAGAAGTCCGAGAGACTGATGCTGAACGGTGGCTGCTGCGGGGTTTTATACCCGAGCGAGGCCGCTCGCACCGCCTCCTGGCGCGCTGATTGGCTGACTCACTTGCTCTAGAATTTTCTGCGTTTCAAAAAGATTAATAATTTTACATTAGCAACATAATATAAAATGAAGAACCCCACAAAAAACTTGACTATTACAAACAAAAAAATTCAAGCGCTGGATATAAAATTAATTTTGCGTTCCATTTCGTTACAGATCCCAAAAACCACTTGGATTTTTTTGAGGCAGCCCAACTGGGCTTGAAGAACGTTGAAAATGCAGAAGCTGCAGAGCCTTTGGAAGAGCTGGACCCTGACTGGTTGGAAGGTTACTTCCAAAGCTTAGAAAAAAAAGAAGTGGAACCGCAGAAAAACAACGCAGACAATTCTGATCTGCTTGTTTTTGAGAATGAAGAGGATATGGAGTTTTTGATGGATGACATCTTGGATGTTAATTTGGCTCCCACTGATTCCAATATTGAGTGTGCCGGGAGTGAATTTGACCCCGAAACGTTGCTGCCCTTTGACGAGGCAGACTATCAAATTTTGGAAAATCTGATCCTCCTGGAGCTCCAGGAGACAGCCTTTGGTTCAGACGAAAGCGTTGGTGAAGCTGAACAAGAGCAGGAGCATCCCTGGATCAAATTCCACCAAGGTGAATGCGAGCGTTTGCGGATGTCTAATGAAAAAAGGGACCTGAACAAAATTGTTCAAGATTACAAGAAGTTCAGGGATGAACAAGGATGTTAACTACATGTTCCTTCTGTTACTGATTTGTTAAATAAAAAAATTTTGTTAAAAAGATCAGTGACAGTATCATTTATTGTATCGACAATAATATTTAATAAGAAACGAACAATCTTTTTGTCCTCATTTTTATGAATTGATAAGGTTTGGAGTCAAATTTACAGAGATGGGATTTTTATTTTAAATAACACAGAATTGCATAAATAAAATGGAACACACATTGAAAAATTCACCATTTCCCAGCCTCGTGCGACTCCCCCTCCCACTGATGAACCTGAATATATGTCAGAAAAATTATATGTTATATGGTCGCCCTGAGTGGGTTTCAGGGTCCACCTGACCACTTTTGAATATGCAAATTTTTGGAAGTATAAAAACCTTTATCAAACTGATAAAACGTAGGGATGATTCTTTGAGGGTGGGCAAGAAAAGTAAAAAAAAAAAAAAAAACTATCCAAAGGTTGCTCTTTCGAGGCAGCTTTTCTAGGCAAAGGAGGCGACTGACAGGGTTTTAACCCGTTTTTTGTTCCACTGACACTGCTGATTTTACTTTCCAAGTTTCATTTAATTATCTACTTTACGTGTGTTCGAAGAAGGCAATTTTTCAAAATCAATATTTATTTCCTGAAAATTTTGCTGTTTGGACTCCTATTATTTGTCGCTTATGCACGGGCGGTATATTTGTTCAAATCACTTCAAATTCAATTTCTTATCTAAAATTTGATTCAAACGCTCAAAATCCGGTATCAGATCTGCGCTCAGGGTCTTCTTTTTGTTTATAAATTAAACATTTTTGTTACCCCGAGCTCAAGTTCAGCCCCCTACTATATATTTGGTCTGTGGCATACGGACTTTTACAATAAAAAAAAATAGCATAACTACTTTATAGCAGATGCTAATTTAATTTTAATGAAAAGTATTGCCCGTGAAATATGATCTTTACTTGGAATCTGTGCTGAGGTTGAATTTTTATCACCTAAATGATGGACAATTGCTAGAAGAGGAAACGTAGCTATGCGTAATATACTGCAATTATATAAGTAATGCAGCATCCCCGGTTGAATATAAAAATTTGCAAGTGGATGGTTGCGCTTAATTATAACATGTATTTATTATAAAGCTATTAAGCAGTCGTACTTTGATGAAATAAAACACATAAATTTAAAAAAAAAATGTACATTTGGTAATAATTTATTACTACTATCATACAAATCTTGATCTGCTTTGCCAAAGGTTAGACAGGAGATTGTGAACAAAAAATAAACTAATTCGCAAGAAGAAATAAAGGCGGAGAACATTTATGTGTGCAGCTTAAAATTGGTCTTTTGGGAAAAAAGAGCCCCTAAGCTAGTGGAAAAATCGGTTAGGAGATTAAAATGTTGACACTTATACGTCCCAGAAAATAGCCAGTGCTTTGGTTTTGAAAGTGCATCTCCATTTAAAATTCAACTTGGTTAAGTGAAAATTAAGGAGAAAAATAACAGAAAAAGCATATTAAGCAGAAATCATTTTTTAGAATTTTAAAATTATACAAAATCTCCCGTCTTTTTTTCAAACAATACATCTCTGTTTTGAAAACTTCACTGAGCAATAAATTCTTTCCACAGTAAATCTACTGGTTACAAATCGAGCACTATTTACAAAAGTCATCTCGTCAAGAGCTGAAAGTCGAGCCAATCGTTAAAATTAAATTTGATATTCGTAAAAACGTTCATTTTTTATTTCTCCGTAGAAAGCACGCAGATTAATCGCTAATTACCCGAGAGTCTGCGCGGCGCGAAAGAGGCGAGTTTAAAATCAAAAGAGATGGCAAATCATGGTGAAAGCAGCGACATCGCTTCGAAGAAAGATTTTTATTTACAACAGCGGAGTGGTGGCGACTGGGGTCGCGACCTCTCAGAGCAATCTGTCGAGTGCGTGGATGACCCCGTTGGTGGCCGGAATGTCGGGAGTCACTACTCTCGCCGAGTTCACTTTGAACACGCCTGCGAAAAGAATAAAGAGATAAATTTCTTGTTGGTTTTCAACGTCAGATTGGTGAAAGTGATGCGTTTATGGGCCAAGATCAACCAAGATGCAGATGAGAGCTGCTCTTCGTTTTAAAAAAAATACATAATAATAATAAGGGCTACACGCTACAAAAACTCAAGAGTCACGGGCAAGGTCGGTGCATTATTCGGCCAAGTGCACTCAGTGAGGAAGTGGAGCGCGAAATTATGAATGAGGTTTTTAAGGAAAACATTACAATGAAAATGTTTATTTAGTGCCTCTCTTTGACTCTATTTAAAAAAAAGAAAACGTGAATTAAAATAAAAAATATTGCGTTCAAAGGATTTAAACTACGAGTACAGTTTATGTTAAAACAAATTAATTTTTTAATTTAAATCAACCTTTCCCATGATGGGAATTGTTTCATAAAAAAGACATCCTGCTCTTTTTCCGCTTTTTTCAACAAAATAATAAAATATAATATCATAGAATAGCTGAATTTAAATTGAAACCTCTTTTGAATAGACCATCGTCAAACATTAAATTCTTCAAGAAAATTAAAATTAAATAAATGTAATCATAATTTGGATTTTCGATAAATTTTCGAACCATTATCATTGAAGAGTCTGAGGGGCTGGTTTGAAGAGAGGGTGGAGGTGGCCTGGTAGTAGGTGACACCTTCGGAGAAAAGTGTGCCAGGGGCGATGTGCCTCTCGAGCAGCACTTTGAGGGCGGCTTTGCGTTCGGGAGACTGTCCAGCTTCAATGAGCTGCGCGATCTCTGGAGATGCATTCGCCAGAGCGTCGTCGGTGGGTGCGAAGAATGAGTACGTCCGGCCATCATCTGCAATCCACGTTCATTTTTATAAAAGATATTTTATAAATTAAATTTAAACTGGATAATTTTATTTTATTATATTTTTCTTCTTCTTGGAAAATAAGAGAAGTATGGACTGAAAAAAAACTGGAATGATAGGTTTTATTAGGCCAAATTTTTCGAGAGAAATTATTTAATTCCAGGATGCATCTTTGTCTATCATTCATTTTGACATTTAAAATTTCCCATCGCGAGCATTATTCAGCAATAAGAGGAGGAGAAAGATGTGCGTGCGATTTCTAATCGCACATTCCCAGCATCGTCCATTATCAGTCACTTGGTGAATGAGACGCTAATTTGGCTGATTTTTTTATTCTCAAAGTTTCCCACAGTGGCAATATGGATGGACAGGAGACTTTCTTTTCTCATCTCTTTATATTGCACTCTTAAATTATTTATTATTATTTTTCCTGCCACTACATAATAATTAGCATAATGAATCATATTATAAAAAACAGATCCAGTTTTTCCCACCAAAGGCAAAATAGGTGCTTTTGTAATAAGCGAGTCAATCATTACGCGCATTAAAAAGGTTTGAGCAATTTATCACAGTAGCCAGAAGCAATTGGCCCACAAACTAGTAACTTAATTGGTTCAATTAAATTAAAATAAAATTGTTTAAATAATTGTGTAATTTTGAATTATTTTTTGTACGTTTGTTCATTTTCTTGGTGATCTTATTTTAGTTAATGGAGAATAAACAAAAATAAATTTTTATTTAATAAAATTGATTGAACTAAAATTTTTTTAAATACTCTCAAATTAAACTGTGATAAATATATATTCAATTATCATTCTCTTTTGTGTAAACAATACAATAGTAACCCCTTTTCTTTTTTTGTCTTTGAATGGATTTTAAAAACAACAATGAGATTGTTAAAAAAAAATTATTTACCTGCGCTGTCCGGTACAGGTGCGGTTAGCAAGTTGTCCAGGCCCGAGTCCTTGACGATTTGCACCAGTTTGGTGAATCTCCTGCCAGGGTCAGCCTCAAGCGAGGTCATGATGTCACCGACCGGCAGCGGGAAGAGCACTTTGTTGACCGAGTGGGCAATGGAGCCGCCGGGAAGAGGAATGTCGGCGGTGCGATCGAAAATGGCACCACCGTTGACGGTGATCACCCTCTTGGGGTTGAACGACTGGTCGGTGTTCGAGTAGACGTTGACGCGGAGCTGCGTGCCCGCCAAACTGACCCCGGTCATCTCATCCTGCAGGTCGTTCTCCTTGAAGTAGCCTGGGATGACGTGGTGGAGAAGCAGCTGCAGAGCAAATTTGTTCAATATTTTATTTTTCACGCACGAGTATTTCTTCATAGATTAATTATTTTTGTAAGTTATGCGTACCACTTACTGCAATTTATATTTATATTTGAACATTATCAATCATATTATTATTTTTCGCAAAAAAAAAAAAAAAAAATATGGATTGTCAGTTACTTTTAAATTGCTAATAAACAAATTACAAACGCTTTGTATGGACGGTAAAAAAGTTAGAATATCTAAAAAGAAAAAAATTGTACAAGAATATAAAGCTGTTTTTATTATTTAACTTTCAAAAAATTTAAAAAAATAGAACAATATATAATTTTAAGATAATTGTATATTATTAAAAAAATAAGGTTATACTTTTGGTATTGACAAATTATAAAATTTTTGAAATATTGTGCTTTAATTTTTAGTTATATTAATTTATTAAACAAAAAACTTACCCCACTTAGCAGACGGGGGCTAGCTTTGAACTTAGCCTGAGCCCTCTCAGCTCCTCCCAGTTCCAAAAGAAGGGCCCTGAAGGCCAGATCAGTTGGCACAAACATTGTGAATGGATCTATAAAATGAAATTTTCATCTTCAAATCATGCAATAATAACAAAATTTTAATTACTAAAATTATTATTTAGATTTTTTTAGCATGCGGAAGTAGGGAAATGTAAAAAGTCTTCCGTTCACATTCCCAACCTGATTATGTCAGTCGGAAGATACGGATCGGCCCATTGTCTTTCTTTCCGCACCTCGTCAGCCTTAACCAGCAAATAAACAACACGCTCTTTTGACGATACTTTCGATTTTGAAGAGAGCTAGAAACGCGATATCGTTCTCAGAACTCTCAGTCGCAAGAGGTGCCGATGTGAATTTTTCTCCTTTGTCGCATGCAGGAGATTGCGATCTGCGCAAATTTATAAAGGAGCTTCTAAGCAGATCCTCCGACACGAGAGTTGCGAGTGAGCGACGGCGTTTGCTGCTGATTCATCATTGTTCAGCCGTTCTTTGTCCCACATTACAATACAAAACAAATTTATAACACATTACACGAATTTCTAGTGGACTGTGTATTACATTTTGCAATAAAGATCGTGCGGATCTTTTTTTTTTAATAAAATGTTTGTTAATTGAAATGTAAAATTTCTCCCGTATTCTTCTTCATGTTTCATGCTGCTTTTAATTTTTGAAAAATAATTTAATTGTATTTTTTTTTACTTCTTTTCAAAAATTTATAGTTTGTTATATAAAATGCATAGTTAATTTTGGATTTAAATTATAAAAAGCATTTAATTAAATTCAAATTTGTGATGCTATAAAAAAAAATTAGAAATAAAATCGTTGACTATTTAGAAAAATATGGAATTTTTAATTTACTTACTAGAGTCGTTGAGTGCGCGGTCGAGTCCAACTTGTTCAAGGAACTGGGCCATAGAGCGGAGACCTTGGGCCCTGAGTGCATCTCCGAGAGACGACGGCGGCGACTTCTTAATTAGCTGCAGACAAAGATCATTCACACTTGAGCATAAATTGTAATCTTTATGTGACGAAATTACGCATACATTAAAACAGAGCTTTTGTTTGCGCTGGTTAATGCGAGAAAGATGAAATTATTCATCTGCGGGCTAATTACGTAGTGCCCACGTCGTCAAAAGCAAAGAAAGGCAGCGCCGTCTGAAATAGTAGGTGAAGGCCTCTTTCAGGCACAAAAGCAGCTCAATTTGAGCGCAATACCGACCCTCTATGCAAACGAGTCATTGAATACGCAAATCAGACAAACGGAGAAATTAAATCTGCGTGCGAACGGACAATGCGGCAAAATTGTTAACTGCCGCGCTTTTCACTTTGGTCATGACCTTTAACTTTCAAAATTCGAGAAGCTGCTGGGCGAGAGTGGTTTGAAAATTTCTCTTCGATCGAAATGGGACGCGACGAATGAAAGGAAACGCAGAAAGAAAAGATATACTGACTCGTGGGCGATCACACATTGTCGTAAATTTTCAAAGGCCGTCTGCCGACGATTGGAAGAAAGTGAATTTCATCGCTTCGGAACATATATTGAGTGATCCAATCGCAAGAGACGCCCCTGATAAAAAAGGCTATATGTTTATATTTATGAGCATTTTATTACTTTCTCCAAATTAATCGATTGTTTGTAGAGTGATAAATAAAAATTTATTGGAGATAAATTTGACGTGTTCACCTATAAAATAACCAAATTGGAAATTGATTTTATCTCTTTAATGGAAATCTGAGTAATTCTCTGGGCCACTTGTAAAAACTCTCACACGTGAAAAAATATCCAGGCTGCTTTCCAAACGGCTCAAATTTCAGCACTTCTCATTTATGCAAACATCATTTGGCACACAACACTTCTTAATGGCGCAAACGTGATTTAAATTGCAATTACTAATTTCGGCAACGCAAACAACAATTAAAAGCTATTTAGTTTATAATTATATTTTCCTCTGGTCGGAAATAAAACAAACCAGAACTTTCTCAGGAAGATTAAACTAAAGAGTGAAGATTATGTAGAATGGAGCAATTATTCACAACACGTACGAAAAACAAGACAAAAGAGGAACAGAAGAAGTCACGATTCCCAAGACGAAAAGTGGAAATATATAATTTGTGCGAAAAGTACGTACCGCGTTAGGCGACGGCACGCTGTGCGACACGGGGCTACTTTGAGAGGCGACAAAGTGGCCGCGATGCTCGGCCGGTGGTTGGGACGTGGTGGAGGTCGAGGGTGCATAGGTCACCGGGAAAGGGGTAACTGCCCTGTGGCGGGGTTGATGGGTGGTCGGCACGGTTCTTTGCCGGGGCTGGGGTTTGAGGGTGGTCGTGGCGATTCTGGGCGAGCTGGTCGGTCCACCGGTGGGCAACTTTAGTTTGCCATCCTGCAGTTTCTTCAGGATGTTCTGCACTTCCTCGTTGTCCTCATGACCATTTTTGGCCGCCTTGGCAGCTTCGGCCGCAATGTCAGAGCCTTCGGGGATGCCGGCGCCCTTGCGGACGCCTTGGACTTTGAAGGAACCGTCGTCCTGCTCCTCCAAAATGACGAAAGTCACCTGGTTTTATCAAGCAAGAGTTAAAATTATGAAAAATGTTAATTATAATATTAAATTTAAGGACATAATGCTAATAAGTAAATTAAAATGAAATTTTATCTCAGAAGAGCCATCAAGATTTTGAAAATATAAGTGTAATCAGATCATTTAGCAAGCTTTTCTTTAAATCAAGATTTGTTTTTTGTTATTTATCTCGATTTATCTATAAATTTAAGAATTTGCGGTGTACATTTTCTTTTCCACACCTCATCAGCACATCATGACGTTTGCAACATCAATTATAATAATTAAACGTAGTGTATTCTATTATTATTTTTTTTTGTTTTAATAATTTCATGAAATTATTATGAACATTCAAATATCAATAATGATGTAAATTGTAGCGATAATGAAAGTTTTTGATTAATTTTGCTTCCATAATTGTATGACAAATACAATTTCGCATAGTCAATTTGTAGTTTTTATTTTTGGCAGATCTTTACTTAAAACTATCCTAATTTTGTCAAATTAAAAAAAATTTAATTACCAAGATATTTTAATTAAAATTTTAAAATTATAAATATAAATTAAAATTTTTTTAATAAAATTGAAAAAAAGTATATTATTGTACTGAATAAATATCTATGTTAGTGAAACTTAAAATTTAATTAACCTTTTTTGGTAAATCAGATGGCAGGCCCTTGACAGTCTCCAAATCTCCGTCGTGCTTCTGCCTGATGACCTCGTACTTGATGCCGTCGGGAACGACACCCTGGGTCACGGCATCCAACAACCCACCCTTGGTTTCGATAGTTTTCACAACAGGGGGTGGGCTTGTGGTGGTGGGAGCGGCAGCTTTAGGGGGTGCTGTGAGCACCTGCACCCTCTGACCATTGGGCAGGGTGATGGTGTTCGGGGCGTTGGGGTTTGAGGCGATCTGCTGGCCCAACTGCTGCAGCAACTTTTGACTCAATTGCTTCTGGGAGACATCCTTGAACACAATCAGGACGTGTTGCGCGTGTTAAAAGATGATGGGGGCCAGGGCCAATAGGGGTTAGTCAAAATTTTCAGTAGATTCGTAAGTATAAATATAGTTTTTAAGACGAAGAGGACAAGTAGTGTAAAAAAGTAAAAAAAAAAAAATCATGCACAAGGTGAGATATACAATTCTTTATAAAAAATAAAAGTGATTAAAAAGAAGTGATTGCCGATTGCATTGTACTAAATTTTCCCACCATTTTTTACAACAATTGAAATGATATATTTATAATATTAACTATTGTTCCTTAAAAGAATAAAATTCTGTGCCTTTTTGCGTGCTGTTGGATCTTGAAGTGCTTCAAATTCTAATTATGTGCAAGATAAATTAAATTTGTCTCCACTTACCGGAGTGCTGGGTGACGGGGCGAAGGTCGTGGTCACCGGTGCCTGGGTTGAAGGAGGAGGGGTAGGGCTGAAGAAGTTCTGCTGAGGCTGGTTGAAGCTGTTCTGCTGGGGCTGGTTGAAGTTGTTCTGCTGTTGAGGGGGTCTGTTGAACTGCGGTTGGAAAGATGGTTGCGTCGGCTGCTGCTGTCTGAAATTCTGTTGCTGGTTGAAGTTGTTTTGCTGGGGGTTGAAACTGCTCTGCTGGGGGTTGAAATTGTTTGGCTGTCGGTTGAAGTTCTTCTGGTTAAAGTCCTGTTCTGGAGGCTGGAACGTCTGCTGCGGGGGTTGGAACGAATCTCTTGGGGGCTGGAAGGTGTTTTGAGGCGCCTGAGTGCCTTGGAAAGTGTTTTGCCTCTGGAAGGGCGGCTGAATGTTGTGATTTGGCGCGTGATTGGGCGGAACGGACGGTTGGAACGAGTTGAGCAGTTGTTCCGACGGTCTAAAGAAGTTCGTCACTTGCTGCGAGCTCTCTTGTACCTGTTGAGGAAGCGAACGGTGCTCTGGAGCGAAGCGGAAATCAGCGTTCTGAAACGAAAGTTTGAAAACAAAATTACAAATTGAATTTTATAAAAGCGCGAATTAATTTAAATTGCGGCCTTGTCCCTAGCATTCAGATCTTTTCTGTTTTGATTTCTCAAGTTCCGGGGCGGAATCTTTTGTGCCTAATTTATATGCATAAAAACTTGCGACACAAATAATAAATTTAGACGCTGCTAGAAAAATCGCAGTTTTTTAACAATGCCTCGGCAGAAGGCAGCAATTTTCTTGGAGCGAGACGTTATTTTTGTGCGCGCCGGATTTTTACTTTCACCTTATTATAGCGCATGTGTTATGTATTAAAAGGGCATTCGCAATGACACACTTCTTTTGGTGCGAACTATGGAAATGAGTGCAAATGAATGTGTTTGCAGAGGAGCGAATTTTAGAAGGCTTAGTTAGTTAGAGCACCAATGCTCGTTTTGGTTTGTGAGAAGTTAATTACAAATGTAGATTGTGGGAGATTAGACTAGAGCTGGCGGATTAGCTAAAGCGATTCGCTTCATGACGCTTTTATGCAACGCTCGCGCATAATCTAGATAGCACATTAAGAGCTTCCATAAAATGCTGGTCCCTGCATGTAACTTAAAAAGTTAAAAATGAAGCAAATTTGATCAATCAATGAAAAAATTTCTAATTTACTTGCAATCAATCAATTGCTAGTTAAGTAGTCTTTATCAACGTAAAACGAGCATAAAAATTTCAATCAAACTTTATAATAATAATTCATTAAATAAGAAAGATGAAACATTGTTAATTAAATATAATTTATGATTTTCTCCTCTAATTTTTTTCCTTTTCATTAATATTTTTTTTTATATTATTATGACTATGTAGTTTTTTTTGCACATATTTCTATTTTCTCTATAAAAATTAATTTGACACTTATTTTCCGAACGCTAGGATCATTAAGTTTCTACTGGCTTCTGCGGTAAATCGTCTTAAATACTAGTTTCTTCTTGACTTCACCATTCTTAAAAAGTTCAAAATGAGAGATTAATTTATTTTTAATGTGAAACTAAGAACTCTCCAAATTTCACGCCAAATTAGATATGTTTACCCAATAAATTAACCTCCGTGGATTTTATGACAGGCAGAGAGCAGTAGAAAGTTCACGAATTGATGATGCGCCCGGCTCAAGAAATATTTGAACTTTTCTCCTTTCATTTATTTCATTCATTTCTCACGCGCTTTTCTTATCGCACATATTCCCGCGTATATCATACCGGTTTGCAGAAAATTATGCGTGCTTTCTTCTGATATACTCGTTTGGTATTGAAAACACGACGAGCCTTTGACATTGGGTGCCGGCGAGAGAAGGTCTTTAATCGAAACACGTACGCGTGCATCATTCATCTCACCGCGACCCGGAGAGATTTCACCTCAAGAGCACTGCACAGTCGGAGGCAGGTCGCAGACGCGGAGAAGAATCCTCCCGCACACCTCAACTTTCTCTGCATGCGCTCGATGTGAGCTACTCCTCTCTCCGCAGAGGATGCGCCTTTACCAGTTTAAAATAAATAATAGTAATTAACCTGCGTTCGGCCGGAGGCGAGACGTTATTTTTTTATAGTGACAACCTAGAGTCGGTCTTCTCTTGGTGAAATATCCTTTCATTTATCACTTTCCTCGGGAAATCGAAAGTTTTTTCACGAACGACGCCGCTAATTATTTGCAAATCAGGTGAAAACTTCCTCCGACCTGTCTAATTGTACTAACGGTGACTTGTTCTCACTCTAAATTTATGCGCTAGAGCCGTAAGTCACAGACATTATGCAAATTTATTTTAACAAGTCAACACGCCGTGGGGAGCATTGTTGAGAAGCAATGGGCCCTCTCACTTTTGACTTTGCTGAATTTTGAGAAACATGGGAAGAGTTATAATTTTTCCAAGAAAGTCTACACACTGAGCTCAAGCGTCGATGGCAGCAGGAAAAATAATTTTGTTTTAAAACTCCATCAAAATGTTATTTGTTGATAGTTATTATTGAAAAGGCCAATAAAAAAGTATACAAATTAAAACGATAAAAAACATGATAAAAGTAGAACTTTGATTATTGATCCAAGCAAAAATGTATTAGCTAATTGTTTTAAATTTTTTTTACAGAGATTGGAAAGCTGGCTAAAACAAAAATTAAAAGAAAGCATAAGGTTAAATGTAATATTATTATAAAATATAAATTCTTAATTAATACATATTAAATGTAATAATTTGTTTTAATAAATTGGATAAATTGATTGATTGTGTATCAAAGCAATCAAATGCTGAGCACAAAATTTCTCGTATAATTAAATAATTGTTTCAGGTACTCCTCCCACAACTTTCTGCCGGTTTGATGAGTTTGATGAAAGACTGCTCACTTTTTCAAGTAAAAAAGTGCCCTTTATATTACCAAGCAACTTTCGCTCTGTTGAACTCATACAAAAAATTTCAGAAGCGCATCATTCTCAAAAAAGCCTCTGACTCGTCTGTGTGATGCAACCAATTTTCGCGGTTCGATTTGGGTCATTTGCTGCGAAAAGTGAAATGTCACGAGTGAGCAGCGCACATACGGAGCAGTTCACTTAAAAGCATTGTTAAAATTCCGCATTCGTCCCTCGATTGCTTAACCCGAGCAAATGAAAGATGCAAGAGGTCCTTTCTTTTATGTGCATTTTCTGGTGCAAAAATTCAGCCAGTGAAGCAACGCACGCGGCTTGAATTCAGATGAGTTGATCATTTGACGTGGGTGCCAATATTAAAAGCGTGTCACCGACTTTAATTGTTGCGATAGAAAAAAGTTTCTACCTGGGTGCGGATTATATTTTCTGTCTAGTCTGCGCATAGACTGTAAATAAAAGGAGGTTGGAGAGAAAAGATCTTGTGCAAAATATGAGACTCGAGTCATTGTCATCGCCGCTCTAGTTGCAAAAAGCCGCAAGAAGAAGTGTAAAACTATATTCTAATTGTAAGCGCCTCTGTGTGAACTATGAATGAAATATTTGCGAAACAGCGGTAATTATACATTAGTAAAGAGCATTATGGGGAAATTAATCCATAACCGTAGAACGAGAAGCTTAAGATGTGTGACTTATGTTTGCTCCAGTTTTTATTTTCGCCGAACTCAAATCAGTTTGCTAAACTATTGAATACGAGTAAATCAGACACCGCCCTGCTCAAGTTAGTTTGTAATCAATTAATCACCTGGCCATCATCATGGCAGTCAGCAGCCGGTTGGTCAAAGACAAAAGTGCTATGATTCAGGCGATCATATTGATCTCCTCTCTTATTGGCCAGACAATGATTTTCCAGACGCACAAGATGTTTACACGAAATGTAAGAATTTTTTTTGCTATAATATCATAGTCAAGAGAATCCAAATTCAATTTTGCAGCTGGGCCAAAAGATGAAAGTTATAATGCTGATTACTCCCTTTGTATTTATGAGTTTGGCCGATGTCATTGAACTGCACGGTGAGTTTGCTGTGAAACAAATTTATACTTGTAAACTGTAACAAATTATTCTTCCAATAGCCACTGGCACAAACTCAGCCAGCTCACTCAGTGACATCACTTTGTTGTTCATCCTATTTCCAATAAGCATGCTAGTTTTTCTGTTCAGCCAGCATTAGACTCTTCTAATTAGTTTGAGTTATGAATTTAAAGTAAACGTTATGAATATTTAATTGTTATTTATTTATTTTTTTTATATGAAATGAAAGTGCAATTTAAAATGGTTGATATACTAGTAATTTAAGTAATTATGTCTTCAAGTTTTTGAAAGAAAATTTTAATTAATGCAAAAGCAAGTTTATTTGTGAGGTGAATAAAGAAATCCTCTAAACCAATAATTCGCAACACACGATTTCCTAAACTCAAAAGGTCCGACCTGACGAGTCCTGCAGGAATTTTTGCTTTAATATCTGTATTTTTTTAACACTGTATTATAGGTTAAAGTAGCAGATAGCTTATAATGCAGGTGAAAATCTTCTGCAAATTATGTTCCATTGTATCTTGACTTTTTTCCAGAGTTTTTATGAACAAAATATTGCGAGTTATTGTACCTATCAACGTTTCCCACCAATTTTTTTTTATGCAGAATGGTTCCCATTTAAAGATTTTTGGAATTTAAATTTACTCTGGCACAAAAGTTGTCCCTGAGCAAAAGAACATTTTTATTTAAGTAATATTTAATAAAATGATAGAAGTAAAAAAGCAACAGTAGTTGAATTTTGATCTAAATTTTGTTTTCAAAATTCACTGAGCAATTTTTTCCAGAATAAAAAGCACAAAGTATACTGTGAAGTCTGAAAAAAAATATTTTTAACAAAGAAGTAGAGACTAATGCTGTAAAAAATGACTATTTAAATTTTATCTTCCTACCTGGTATTGCTGAGCAAAATTTTGGCCGCAGACCGAAACAGCCAGGAAGGCGAATGCCAGGAGCAGCGAAGGCTTCTTCATGCCGGCTGCTGTGGTGAACTTTGGTGCACAATGAGCGGCACTGGGTCACCGTCGCTTTCTTTATACGCCTCCCACCTCCCGGCAGCCTTTCTATTAATCCACCTCTTTGCGAGAAGTCGCTTGTGTACCTGAATAACGATAGGAGCTGCAGTTCAAGAAACACACCTGCCTTTGAAGGCGAAAAGGTTCACTCTCGTCTGCAGATAGATGGACGTTCCGAGATGGGAAAAGACGCGCCGGTTGAATTTTGATGTGACCAATTTGCATGCCTATCGTTTTGAAGGAGGGCAAAAGAGTACAGAAAGTGCGAGATTCTTAGTTTTTGGCCTTCTGTTAAAGGACGTGGTGTACCTTCCTCTTAAATAATGTATCTCAGCCGGTCATTTTATTTGATTTATTGTAATTTTAGAGAATTTTGCTGTTTTATCACAGAAGAATATTTTTCCACCTTCACGACATTGAAATGATGAATGGAAATAAATTAAGTAATTCCTCAGTGAGAAATTAAAATTATAGTAAGATTAAATCATAAGCCGTCATAAACTATAATGAAAATGAGGGAAAAATTATTTTTCTTTCTTTGCAACAAGGTTTCAACTTTTCAAGAAAAAAAAATTCATGTAATTTAACCATTTTCCTTCTAAAAAAATTTTTACTTTGGGGCGCTTTGAGGAATGGACTAATTAAATTATTGAATCTAACTTATAAAAGTTGATAATAATAAATGAATTAATTGCAGCAAATTTTCGTCATGAAAACTCTAGTTTATAGTAAAAAGACTAATTTATAATTGAAGGTTTCATTACTGGACAGACATAGTTTTGGGTAACGTCTCAACAATGATACACCATTGTGACTCTGAATAACCCAGACGCGTTTCAGGCAGCAGTTAAAAGTTGAAACAGTAAGTTTCCATTAAATTTAAATTAAAAATTACTCATGAACTAAACCACTTATTTTTCTAACACTTTTTCCATCATTTTTCTTTGCTTTATTATTACAGTTCTTGTTCAATTTTTATACAAAATATCCTATTATGGATTGAATAATCAATTATTGGAAAGGAACATTGAATTGTTGCACAAAAACGAGAATCAGAAAAATAATTTCTATTATTTTCCATTCAAAAAAAAAAAAAAAAAAAAAATTGATTTTTCCTCTGCTCATGGAAAATTTTCCACCCTGTTCCTTCCCAACGCTTATCGCGTTGCCGAAACCAGAAACCCATTGAATCTGACGCTTCTCGCATTATTTTTGACGAATTTGATGCTACATACACGGAACATGAGCCACCGCGCCAAACCGCTCTAAACAAGTTAGTTAATTCAAATAATATGCAAAATAAATCTAATAGAGATTCATTTTTCTTTTTTACAAAATAAAAAAAAGTAGATTTAAAAAATGAAGCGGTGTACACACGTTCACTGATTTTATTGGCAGTGAAAACGTCCTTTGCGTGTTTTCCACTGATTCTCATGCATTTTCTCTTTCAACTCTACGAATTAATGCACCTGCAGGAATTGACGCCTCCGCACCTGTGTATGCTGTATTATTGCTGCTTTTCGTCTTTTATTCTCTTTAAAATAACAACACAGTGAACTAGATCGCACAAAGTAGCTTTTGTTTTCGAGCATATGCAGGGAAATGAGGAGAACGATCCGTGTGCGTGGGAACTCGATTCGATCAATGGAAGTCTTGAATTTTTAATTCCAGATTCTATTTTTTTTCTATACTTTCCCCAACTTCCGGAAGATGCTCCAGACACGTTCGCATGCTCTTCTGGCGAGTGCCCTGCAAAGAGTTACGCAACAAATTGCGACTTAATTGCTCTCGACGAGACCTCTAGGCGAGAAGAGATGCAGGAACACCTTTAGAAAGAACATAATTAAGTTTTAGTCGCGACAAGCTAATGTGAAAAACAATGGGGACTTGTCACGCTTATTAATGAGTCCCTCGCATCTTTCACTACAGACGATTAGCATTGTTTGCATTTTTTCCTCGTCTCGTTTCCTGTGTAATTGTTAATTATTTTATGCACCTAACAATTTATATGCGCCTGTTATATTAATTATGCATTATGCGGTTTAAAGTTATTACAGTAAATACAGCGAGTGAGAATTTAGAAATTTAATATTGGTGCAATTTTATCTTTTTTTTTCTTCATAATTTGTATAAAATTGAAATTGTCATATAATTTAAATAGCCAGCGAAGAGAGTGCGGTAGAGATACTACAGATCGAGCAGGGTCAAGGAACGGTGAGATGAGATAAAAGTATCTATGCATCACGCATCACAGCACTGTCTAGAAGGTTGCATAATTATACTTAGCAAGAAGTACTGCCTAAATTACGATTCGATTAACAAAAATCCATATTAGTATTACTGTTGTATATTTGTAAAAAAAAATTACATCAATTTATTTTTGAAAACAATTCATTCGAAAGAAAGATGAATTTTTGGACTAAACGACACTACCAGTAGTATTAAATTAAATTAAAGTTAATTAACAACTTTTGAAATTAAGTCAATTTTTTAATAAAGTAGAGCTCAAATAATTATTTCAGTAATTAATCAATATTAATTAAAGTTAAACTAAATTGAAAAGCGGCAAATTTTTTCCCCTTTACAGCAATAATTGATTTACAAAAACCATTGAGGAACTGCCATTTTCCAATTAAATCATAACCATTCGTCTCTCGATCGTTAATTTATTAATTTTAAGTTATATTGGGAATGTTGGCTGCGGAAAAACTCTCAGGTTGGCAATGGCATTGCAGAGGGACCTCGGAGGTGCTGCTACCAAGCGGCGCCCTCCCGCAAACTAATCCAATTAATAGTGGGTGAGAGTTTGTGTGTTTATTATTCGTCTGCAGTCATGATTTACTCGAATTTTCGCCCCTGTCGATGATTTTGCCGAATCAGTCGTGAGTCAAGAGTGTGTTTGTGTCTCCCCGAGAGTGCCGAACGATGACCTGGTCCTGCTGAGAACCGAAAGAGCCGCAAATCTGCAGCCATGATCTTCGATTGATCAACGGGTACGATTCGAGAACCACCTTTATTTCGAAAAATTTCACTCTTTTGCTCCAATTTCCACCGATTTAACATCCATATCCACATTTCTTCATTTACATTGATTAAATATACGAAATATTTTAAATGATTCCGATCGATTCGGGCCGATTTCGGTCGCGAATTTGCTCGAATTGCGTCGCTCTGGAAGAGGCAACGGCCCTGGGGCGATCATTTTGCATCTCTCCATGTTTTTATTTTGCGTCGCCCCGCAGCTCGACGGGCACCTGACAACGGGCACGTCGGGTTCAATCGCGTGCCCTAATTAATAATGAACCGAAATATTCGTCAACCGTGTCGTCTGCCGAGCTAATTGGCTCCATTTTGTGGCCAGCGGTTGAATGAGTGACGGTCACATGCTCGCTCTCGCTATTTATTTTTCCTCCACTTCTTCTTCTTTATTTGCCGTGATAAATGATAAATTCACTCCGTACAAGGGCGAGAATGAAATGACCACTCGAGGCAATCAAGGCCGCTGATTTGTTTCAATAATTATAATTAACGTGTCGTTCGTGACAAAATTGTTTGTATTTTGTATTCAGTCGCAAAATTAATTTCTTCCTCTTTTTTTTCATTTATTCGTCATCTTCTGATTGTGCAGTAATGAATCATAAAGCTGACAATGTCAATGAAATGGCATGGGTGTTATTGTGATATTAGAGGAATTTTCATACCATGCTTGAATTTCCTTCTTTCCCTCTCTCAATTAATTTATTGCGTTTTTTTACCTTGTTTTTGGGGGGAAAACCCTAATTCGAAATTAAAAAACAAAACCACTTATTATTTTTATCACTAATGTTTGCTATTTAAGTAAATTTACTCAATTGCGATCGTGACCCTCATGAAAATAATTAAAACTGCATGGAATAAAATGTGAAATCGTTTTTTCTGAAATAAATAAAATTAATAATGGTAAAAAAAAGCTCAAAATGTGGTTGATTTTTTATCAATTTTTTCGGCAATATAAAGTTTTTAATTGCTTTTCTTCATTCATTTTAGAATGAAAAAATATATATTTTTTTCATTTTTATCATAATTAATTAATTAAAAGATAAATATTTGCCAATTCATATAAATTACTTAAAAAGTGTGAAATTTTGACTTTTAATTGATCAACAAAAGTCTTAAAAAATTATTTTCTGAACTAATTTTTTCTTGATTCATGGATTGTTCTTGTTGAAATTGTTTTTTTTTTATATATAAATTTCATTTTATTTTTCTTTTGATTTTTAACTCACAGAAAATGTTATTTATTGTAATTTTTGATCAACTAAAAAAACCAGAATTTTAGTTTTGTTATGTTTCATGAATCAATTGAAATTTTAGCACTCTCGTTGCCAAGTATTTTTTTTTTATAATACAAACCCGTGTCCTTGTCACAAGATATGCACTTTTTATCCTCGGCTCACCACCAAATGCAAGTTTGATGCACTCGAATCTGGTTTTCCTTCACACAAGAGCAACTCGAGCCGCATCCAGCGAGTGACACGTTCCCGCAGTTGTTTTGCCAGAGATGTAAATTAATTTATACACATCTCGCGGCTCAGCGAAAACGTGTCTCGCCCGACAACAATTTGCATTTTGACATTCCGCACTGCACTATCTTATCAAACCGGTCTCCTATTTTCTTCTTCTATTTTTTTTCTTACATAATAATTATTATTATATAAATAATTCTCACTTCTTGGAATTGCTCAAACACGTCATTAATTGTAATTTTGAATTGTTGGCAGCTGCAGAATGTACCCGCAGAGTCCTCTGCCGCGCCACATCACGGCCCTCTACATGGTGGCCATCGTGAGTCTGGTCATTCTTTGCCACGCCGCCCTTGCGGGGGCCGACGTGCTCGTCTTCAGCCGCGAGACCCACCGGCCCATCGAGGACCTCGAGTTTCGCGACCTGCCTGCCAGATTCGGCGAGAGGCTTCCTTTCGAGGGGCTCAAGGTTAGTTTTTTTGCACTGATAACTTTTGGTTTTGACCTCGTTGAGGTTGAGGCCGATTTAATTGAAGGCAAATGAGTACAAAACCATTATTAATAAATAAAAAAACAAAAAATTTTTTTTCATTGTAATATTATTATTTTATTGATATTATTTTTTAATCAATAAAATTTTATGCGAATCACTTTCAAATTTTATTCAAGTTTTCTAACCACTATATTTGTATTGAAATTGAGATCTTTCCAAATAAACGTGATTTAATTTTGTGGTAGAATTTCACGATTGATTCGTGGTGATTAGAATTTAAAATTGTCTTTTCCGCGATGGAGTTTGTGAGTTATTAAATAATTTTATTGTTTAAAAGCATAATATTGTTTTTTTTTTTAAACAATAAACAACTCACAAAACCCAATAAAGGCGATATTTAATTCAAATCATTGTGATTTAATTTTTAGATCATGATAATAAAACAATTACAAATTTTCCTGATTCATTTATAATTATTATTATTATTATGAAAATCGCCAAATTCTGAAGTTTATCATTCCATTCATTGCAGGGTTTATTGGTTTACTCAAATCCACCGAGCGGATGTCCGAACCTGGAGCAGCCGCCGAATGTAACAAACTACACTGGCCAATGGATTGCCCTGATCAGAAGGTACGACTGCAATTTCGAGGACAAAATTCGGAACGCCCAAAGGGCTGGTTATGATGCGGTCATTGTCCACAATGTCAACTCGAGCGATCTGGGTGAGCCTGAACGTTTTCTTATCTGCAGAGTCTGGTTTTGACCGGGATGTTGCTTTCAGAAATCATGTCGGCCAACTACTCGGCTGATATTTACATCCCATCTGTTTTTGTGGGCGAAGAGGCTGGCTGGCTGCTGCGAGATAGTTATCAGTATCAGAGCGGGTATGCTTTTGAATTTGTGGCTTATCACTGAGATATAATTTTCTATTGAACCAATGAGGTCACGTTTTGTTTATTTTAAACTCTGTGCGTGACACAATGAGCGTAGACCTTATTCTTTTAATACTTTATTTGCTCCTCTCACAAAAAGTGAAAATTACTCAGCATTTTAACTGATAATTTTTAATTGACCTGCTAACCCAATTCAATTTTACAATTTTGGATTATGAAAAGAAGGATTTTTTTTCAGATAATTTTCAATAAAATTAATGTTGCAGATTTTATATTCTCATTAATGACGATCTCCCATTCAACATCAACACGCATTTGCTGCTACCTTTTGCGATAGTCGTAGGGATATGCTTTTTAGTAACACTAGTTTTCATGGTAAGGGTTTGAAATTGTACAAAAGGAATTGTGCAGTAAATTTTGATTTCAATCAGATCGTCAAGTGTGTAAAAGACTACAGAAGAGAGCGCCGCCATAGATTGCCAACATCGTCGCTCCGTCAGATTCCAACATCCAAGTTTGTTAAAGGAGATCCTTACGAGACTTGTGCCATTTGCTTGGAGGACTACATTGAGGGAGACAAGCTGAGAATACTGCCGTGCTCTCATGGTGAGTTGAGGAATTTATAAAATTATCACAAAAGAAATATTTGTAAAAAAAAAAAAATCACAAAAATATTTATTTCAGCGTATCACAGTAAATGCATCGATCCCTGGCTGACCAAGTCACGCCGAGTTTGCCCTGTCTGCAAACGGAAGGTTTTTGCCCGCGATGAGAGAATTATGTCCGACACTGACAGTGACACCGATGACGAAACTGCACCTCTTGTTCGTTCCTCCAACAATCCAGGAACAACCGGTGGAGGCACATTTTCCCGTCAAAGAGTAAATAAATTAAAATGAGTAATTTAGACCACGTTTAAATTATTAATAAATTTCAGGACAATCCGTTCCGTCGAGCCATGAGACGCAGAGACAGACGTAGCAACACTTCTTCCGAGGACAGCACTTCGGTTTCCTCTGCAGAAGGCAGCACCACAGGCAATATTGCAGTTGTAAATGCTGAGCAAATTGGCCAGAGCAGCAACAGAGGTGAATTTTATTTTAAAAGAAAAGTGTCACATAGGGATTAATATAAAACAAAGTTTATTCAAGTATTATAACGTTTTTATAATTTGAATATATCACTTTTTTAAACCCTAAACTGACAATTATGAAATATCTACAGATGAACTTACCACCATGAATTCGTCAACAGAACACTCAATTAACGGAGAGCCCAGCACGGAGCAAATAGTGGTGGTGACGGCAGAAAACCCCATGCCTAGCACTTCAGCAAGAGGACCAGTCGAGATCGGCCACGAAGTCAACCCTGAAGTGGCAGTCCAGCAAGAGGAGCAACCAAGCAGGAGAGGCGACGTCATCGTCTAATTCAGGTCTCCTTTTCCATTCACAAAGAAATGAGAGAGCCCCTTGATCAGAAACCATTATATAATAATTTTTCTCATTAATTTTGACTAAACCTCTCTCACACTGGTGGTGAGAGGCAAAATTGATCAGTTTTTAACTCAAGTAGTCACAGAGAACACACTCAAGTTGAATTATCGTAAAGTAGTTGACTGTGTGGGGAGCACCGGACAGTGCTGGACTAGTCTGATTCGAACGTGCTGCGCGTCGTAAATTAGCAAACAGCAACCACTAACCAACTCCCTTTCTTGAATTTCTTTCTGTTCGCGTCCTTTAGTTGCCAAATGTAAAGTACAACAACCTTTTTTTTTATCTGATCTTGTTTAGAGGAATGAAAAAATTGTGTCATTCGGATATTTTTGTTTTACTCCACGTGATTACTAACTAATTGATTAGCTGACTGAGATTTGTATGTGTGTGTCCAAGGCCTTTGAATAAGGTAGTAAATGATCGTGGGACTCGATGTGAGTATTCTTGTTTTATGCAACCCTGTTTTTGGCCTAAGATTTAGAAATATATTCTCATTTCGAGTCTCAAGGATAAATGTTGATGGTGCAGGTTGCTTCTGATTGTGATTTTATTTAAAAAAAATGAAGGGATTTTAGCTCTTTAATCTTTCAGTCCGTTTGATGTATCACCGATTATTTTAATCTTATTTTTAAGGCATCATTATTGTTGCATCTCAGTGCATGTTAAAATCGCATTCTTTTGGTTTTAATTGGCTCAAGGGACCACCACTCCATTTTCATTCTTGTCCCAACTCTTCTCTCTTCAAATCTAATGGGTTCTCATTCATCCTTATGGAGCCTCTGCCCATTGAAGCTCATGTTCCAGCAAATGATAACTATTTAGCAAATTTCTTTTCCGTCGAAATTCATTGATTTCTGTATTGTGATAATCACAGTGTTAAGCAAATTTATTGTTGAAGATCAAATTGAATTGGTGAATCATCGTTTTTGCTATTTAATGCTAAAATAAATTTAATGTGTAATCAATTAATTTAAACAAGGCCTTGCTGCTGTAATGAAAATGTGCAGTGAGTTGAATGATCACCAATTTTTATTATTAATCTTACATACGCACCTGCCTATTGCTGAAAAAGAGTTATAAAAGAATAATTAAACCAACAGTTAGTACCACAGAGCTATTTTAAATGAAATGTCGAATTATCTTTGTACCGTCATTGATGAGGAGAAATAAACTTTTGAATGTTGTAAATAGCTGAATCACCACTTCTTTGATTTAAAGTTTCCTGCGGAACTTCAGTATTTAGAAAAACGCATGCTTATGAAAATTTAATCTTTTTCTCTGGCGTTAAAAAAAAACGCGCCAGGAGGAAGTAGAGTAGTAGAACACTCTGTTTACTTTGCTGAGTGAATTATGAGTTTTTAGAACTTTGCATCTTCTTTTTGCTCTTGCGATGAAAACATGAGCATGTTCCGCTCACACAGCCTTGTAGTTTATATCAATTTAATTATTTTTACAATTAGTGTAGTTTCTTTGCACACAACCAGTAAACTTACTGAATTTCATTGTTCTCTCAAAGTTCTTTAGTTTATTAAAAACTGGTCCATTATAATACAAAACTTAAAATTTAAATACATATTGGCCTGAGCATTAAATTAATGTAATTTATATTTTTCCCATTCTTATAAAGACTAAATTTTATATTTTCAACTATTTTTTCGGGCCATGATTTTGTTTTAAACTCAAGATCGAATGTTTACAAAATGAGAATAATATTAAGCATGTCCAAGTCATTATGTTGATTGACCTGTTTGGTTTCGGTCGATGATGCCGGTGGAGCGAGTTGCAAAAGTAAAGGAGCCTCTCGGGCGCTCGGGTGATCTATTAGTGGCGAGCCTCCTTGCCCGTTCGTGTTCTTCTCGAAAACGAGGCCGTGCTGGCGCGGCAGCGAACGAGACGGCAGCGCGGTCGATTCGCCAATTGTCGGACAGCGTCCGAGTGTCTGACACGGACGGTGCTGGACGGTGTGTGCGTGAAAGGGGCGCGGTGCGTCCGAAAATCGGCGGCGCCACGAAAACAAAATTCGGCGACGGCGTGCGAAGAAGTAAAAATAGCAGTGAGCGCGGCGGCGACTTCCCTGCACGGCTCCTCGTGCTGCACAATTTAAGGACTTGTTTCGCACATGCTGGAGCACCGGCAGCAGCAAAACCCGCCCTTCCTCGTGGGCGAGAGGGCCGTCTGGCTGGGCAGCGGCAGCGGCCTGCCGCAGGGCGGCCATGTCCGCTGGATCGGCAAGTTGCCCGGAATGGGCCCTGGCTGGACGGTCGGACTTGAACTTGTGAGTTTTTTTGCCCAAATATTTTCCGCGAAATTGTGTTAATTCGGAGTTTTGAAAGAAAAAGGGATGGGTTGGTCCGTGGTGGTTGTGCTTCAAGAGACGGTCGGAGGGCAGCAGCAAAGGCTCTTTTTGGCACTTGGCCGCCTAATTTGTATTATGTAATTTTATTTTTACACCAGCCGCCACACTTTTAAGTGGGTGACCACGTTGCGATCGGTTTGTTTTTCTCTCTCTTTTGACCTCTTCAAAAGAAAGATTTAACTTCAATCATTGAAATATTTAATTTCCCAAAAAGCTTTATTGCAATTTGCTTAATCGATTTTCATTTTTTCAATTAACAAACTTTATTTTCTGCTGCTTGCCCCATTTTGAGAGTTCAACTTCAAAATTCAATATTATTTGGAAGACAATAAAATCACTTAAAATCAATTGGAAAGTATTTTTTTTTAAATTTAATTGATATACATCATTTAATTATTTGCTGAAACATCTTTCTAGTTGTAAGCTTTTTAATTGTCTAATTATCATATTATGATGATTTTTTTTTTTTTTTGCTTGAAAATATCCAGCTTTCAATAAAAAAAAAATTAGAATTCATACATGACCGTAAATCTGAATTTTTTTTTATCAAAAAATTAGTACTTCCAATTTTATTTGTGACAAAATCAATTTGCTTCTAAAGCGCGCCGCAGTTCAATATTGCACATGTTTATTTTTCCCAAGTATAATCAGACACCGGTGGCTGGTCTTTCGGTCGCTTTGTAGAACTTGGCCGACTCGCAGCTCCCAACGAATAAATAAGTAAAGTCGTCTCTGGAATTGGAATGGACGGAAAGAGCAGCAACCCAGACTTCGTCGCGCATTTCGTCACGATATAAAAATATTTCTCTGCTCCCTCGTCCACTCTGCAAATCTTGCCAGATTGATGAATAGCCGCAATATTTAACCATAGGGATTTAAAAAAAAATATATAAAAAACCCTGCTCTCTCTCTCTCCGACACCAACTTGTCGCTTTGGAATCACTTTGACTTTTCTCAGACAAAAAAATAAATCAATCATATTAAAAGGCATTTTGGTCTATGTGTATTTTGATCGCAAAGTTCCCTACCTTAGCACCGTCCCTAAAATTTTGGAAAATTGACATTTTTTATTGATCAAGTGCGTTTCAGCATTTCCTGATATGATTCTTGATGGCCATGACCATCGTCTGTTAAAAATTGAAATAAAATTTTGATAAAAAATATATATGTATAATTGTTAGCTTGTTAGCTAAAAATCGGATTTTCGTTATTGTTTAAGCCAAATAATTTACACAGGCCGAAACGGAATCTCACAAGCAGTAAAATCGCTCGCAAAACATTCGCGCGTTCTCCTTTAACGACCGCCGTAAAACGCAGACTTTGTTGTACAAGCCACGTTATGCACTGGACATGCCAACAAATACAAAGTTGGAAATAAAACTTGACTCATTACAAACACGTGCTTTTAAAAACAAAATTGATTTGGGTCCGAATCGTTAATTCTATTTTTTATTTTTTCAGGACAAAGAACTGCCCTATGGAGGCATCGACGGCTCTTGGTGCGGGCGACAGTTGTTCCAGTGCCAAACCAAGCACGGTTTACTTGTTCCTGCAAACGTAGTTGCTAAAGAAGACTCTCTCCTCCGCACCTTTGGTGAGTAAATTTTATTGTTATTTTTTACTTTCTGAACTATCTTTCATATTTATAATTGGTTGGAAATTTTATCTGTTAAAGCTTTAAGTAGATATCAAGGTTTTTGAACTCAAGTTTAAGCGAAATCTTCAGCTATACACCAAAAAAATGTAATACTTTTCCCATTTTTGCTCCCATGTGATGATTGCGAACTTAAATTTCCACTTCAATTTGGGAAAAATTTCAAAAAATAAAATTATTTTTATTTCAAGGATTTAGCAAATTAAAGTGACGTTATCATTATTTTAGGTGATCAAACAAATTTTAAATATTCTTTGTGGAATCAATTTGTTTTATAAATAATTTTTTAAAATTGAGGTTTTAAAAAAAAAAGAAAAATTTTCTGTGGATTAGTCATTCAAGCCCATTAAAATTCAGTTTCCATCAGCGATCAGGAATTTGTTTTTGTTTACAAAGCAAAATCGATTTTTTTTAGGATTAGTCACACAACCGAACATTTTATGTCGTTACGCTTGAGTAACCCAAAGAAATGATCGGAGTTTAATGTTCACGGCGTTCGAAAATTAATTCAGTACTTTTGTGCGATGATTCAATGCGTGTTTTCGCACTTCGCCGGCCGCGGAGAGAGCGCGAGAGTGATTCAGGCGGACTTTGGCTTGCTTTTGATTCAGTTCCAAAAGGTGCGGATCGCACGCCGGCGAAATAGAATGCCGGTCGGACGGTGGGACACACTCTCGGGTGTGGCCACCACTCGCCCTCTCTGTTTTTGCCGGCCGTTTCGGTCTGGGCGGCCGTCCAACTATCAGCATTTTCGGTTTCCTGCTCGCGAACTCACCGTCTCAGCCGAACTTTGCAACCTCCAAACTAATTCATCCTCGGTGATTCTCGCGGTTTCAAGGCTGCCCTTTTGTATATTTAGACAGCCGGAAAGGCTTTAAATACCAAAAGATTAATGATAATTTGGCTGGTTTATGGAAAAAATTACTAAAATTAAATCAATTTTAACAGAAATTTATAAAATTGAAAGATTACATTAGGTGGATTTAAATCACAGCAATTTATTTAAAAAAAAAGAAATTATGGTCTTTAAAAGGACCAGGGGTTTTTGTCAAGAAAATTTTGTGGAAAAGAAATGATATATTTTTTTTCAGAAATTTTCAAATTGAACCGAAAATTAGTCAAAGTTAATATTAAATTATTTTATTGTTTAGTTTAATATAATTAACTTTTTTGTAGAATTTTCATCTTTTATTTAAATGCAGAGAAAGGAATCTTTTGATTGACAATTTCACTGTCACTAGAGATGGGAAAAATAAGTGTTCACAATTTTAGCCTATTTGTTGGAGATATTTAACATTTAAAATCGAGTTTTGAAAATCAATTATCTAAGTAAAGAAGATCTTACTTTTTGGAAAATTTCAACCAATTTCATCCTTTTATCACTCGTTTTGAAATGAAAATTTCACTTGATATCCCCTTTTATATGAAAAAAGCTTTTTTGCAAAAAAAAAATCCTACTGAGAAAGTATATTTTGAAATAATAAAAAAACCTATTTTGTTTTGTCAAGGAAAATCACCAGTTTTTTTTTCATCTCAAAACAATAAAATTATCACTCTGCTCGCATATTCATTTTTTCACACTCCGTCTATATTTTTACTCCAATTCGCAATGAGTGGAGAATCCGAGCTCGTCGTTGTCGAGTCACTTTTATAATATTCTTTGTTTAGCTTGACGTCCACTCGCATTTTAATTTGTTTCGCAAGCAGAGGTTAATATTGCAGCTGTCCGTTTGCCCCTGCTCTCTTCATCGACTAGAGTGCAGCAGCAGCATTGCCGGCGAGTGACTTTGTGCTTTGGCCACTCAAGTCATTTGAAACGGCGCAATTGCACACTTATGTATGCTGATTGCGAGAGTTCAAAATATATTTTTATCGCCTTGCGAAACTGCGTAATGCATTCGATTGACATTTTAAAACCTTTTGCAAGCCCTACCAATTTAGAAGCGCAGAAAAATTTTGCCAAAATATTTTGCTGCATATATTTAGATAGGGATCGCAGGTGTGGGCTTGCGAGTGTTTATTTTTAATTAGGCTACTTTCGTGCCCGTCTGATTTGCTTTTAAAAGACCACACACAACTAATGATATAAGGAGGGTACATCAGCTGAGACGCCTCTAAAGTTAGCCTAGGGAGGTTAAAATAATATTTAACAAAAAAGTGGGAAAGCTATTTTGGTTTTTTTATTACTTGTAAATTTTTAAATTTTACAAAATATTTATCTTAAAAATTTATTGTAAATAGTTTGTTGCCTTTTATTTTCAATCTTTTAAAAGCAATTAATGGGAGCTTGGCAAAGGCTCCGCAAGAGTAATTTTACATTGGCTTCAAGCGCAGCACAGACACTCGCAGCCACTCTTACTTGCACTGTTACAAGCTTACAAACAAGCATTAGAAGTCGACAAACTTCCCGAGTCTCATTTTAAATGTAGAAGCCGAGTGGTGCTCACTTGGATATATCGGTGATTTCATCCTTGCGTCTTTTTCTGACTGAAGGGGAGGAAAGCCCTAATTACCAAAAAGTAAAAAAAAAGATACGAAATGACGCGTAGAAAGCAAAGAGAGGGTAAACACGTACTATAAAAAAATTTGAAAATATTAAATTTTTTTTATAAAAAGTATAAAACTATAAAACAACTTTTTCTCATTCAACTATTTTTAATCACTGTAATTCTTATAATAATTGATTTCTTGTCTTCAAATAAAACGATGGATGAAATTTTAATTTTTATTTTCAAACACATGGAATTTTAGAAATTTGGTTTAATCAAAGTTTTTTTTGTTCGTAAATTAATTTCCTGTAAATTTTTACTCTATAAGCTCCTTTTATTCCATAATTTTACTACTTTTTTAACTGATGCATATGTTAAGAAGAATATTAAAAATCAAATAAAAGAATTTGAATGTGGAAATTTAATACTTTAGAAAATTGATAGCGGCATGGGGCATTCCTGAATATTCTTCAAAATCACTTTGAAATCTTAGTCAGTCCATTTAATAGTATTATAATGGCCGTCGTTTCCATCCGAAACTGATTTACTAAGAGATGAGTCACGTCCATGTTAGATTTGCCCCTCGCGGTGCGGCAATTCAAATGTAAGGAGAGTCCAAGACGCACTGGCCGATTGCAGTGATTAGCGCGCCTCCCTCCCTTGCTATTATCAGCCGCCAGGCACAAGGGCTGTCCACCCATTCCTTGCGGGACTTTTAGGCAGTAAGTTTGAATCGTTCAGTGAGTGCGCAAGGAAGCTTCAGGTCTCCCTGTAAAAATTCAACACTGTGTGTAAATCATCATAATCGGCTTAGCTTGAAAACGGTAGGAAAATTCTATCCTTTTTTTGAAAAGCTGGAGAGGAAAATTATTTTGATTATGAAATTTCGGTTTTTCTTTACGAATTTGAAATAATTTTAAATAATTAATGAATTATTGGCAATATCTAGACAGGTTTAGATTATTCTGGCCCCACAACTTTTTTATGCAATATTTAAAATTCATATTTGATCATGTATTATAATTTATAATTAAAGAATCGTATCAATATATTACTTTAATTCAATTTAATAACGATTTCCAAAAACTGTCACTTTGTATGAAAATTTTTAAACCAAACAATGAATCAATATTCAATTTTAAAATTGCTCCTACACTTGTCTCAAGTCCAAAACCAAAATAGACCTTGATGTTAATGAAACGCAAAGGCAAACAAACTCTTTCCAGCTCATTTGAGTCGATCCGTTCCCGATTATTTTCCTTCGCTCCTTTTTTAATTTTCTGTTTATCCAACTGAACGGTGGTTGTGCGCGCGTTAGTTTCGAAAAGTCTAACATCAAAGCGACACAATACATGACAAATTGGCCCTATCGAGAGCGATGCTCCCTCGAAGAGCCGCTCATTATTGACTTTGCCACCCCCGAGGATCCGAAATTAGCCGCGAATGAGGACAAAAAAAACTTTACTTGGACCACCGATGATCAGCTGTCATCGCGCCACCTTAATCGCTGGAGCTCTCGTGGTACCGCAGTGGCGGCGCATTTGTCAAAAGGGTTAATTATAATTCTCGTTTTGTCCCCGAAAAAGACCGAAATGTCAAGGACCGCGCTCGCTTCTCATTTCTCGGGCGACCGGAAACGCTTTCTGGCAAAGCTCTGATCTCGAATATACTCATTCGACATGCTCTTCGTGAGGTATTTTACTCTCATCTGCCGAGGAGAAAATGCTTCGTTTAATTGGATTTGTGTTTGAAATGAAAGGGCTCTTAGTTTTCTTGTGGAACTCGTAAAGCAGCTGCCTGTCTTTGGTTAATCGCCTGTTTGAGGCATTTTTCCATTTGAGAATGATTATTGTTAAATGAAAAGACTGCAGCTCTTTTTTGTGTGACGATGTTTTAATTTAAAAGTTCCATGAACTATCTTTTCATAAGTTTCTCCTTTCTTGTGTTAACATTTGAACATAAAAACCTCTAACAGTTTTAAAAAGTAAAAGAAAGAATTGGATGCTAAAAAAAATGAAACCGGGCAAACACTTTTGTAATGAAAAAATGAGTAAAATATTTTTTTTTCGTCAAAAATATTCAAATGCAATTTTGTTAGCAAGCTTTTCAAATTCGCCCCTTTAAAAAAAATTCTCTGTTATTTTAATTTTTTTGATACTTTGAGAGTCAAGTGGTTTAACAAGATTTGAAAGATCGGAATTGAATATAAAAATTTATATTATCATCTGTTGAAACATTGATTTTAAGACGAATTGAGCCACCAAATAGCAAATATATTTACCTCATAAAAAAATAATTGAAAAATAAAGGTCAACTGACCTCAAAAGGCACAGTGTGTACGTAAAAGAAAAATTTAGGTATTTTAAATCACAGATTGCCTGTTTGATCAGTTATTTTTTTTTCAATTTCTGTTTCTTCATTTTTTTCATGCAATAATTATTTTTAATTTGCCATTTTAAAGTTTCTTATTGACTTATTAATGTACTTTTAATTATCATAATTCCATGAGAAATTTCATCGCAAATAGCTAGCTTGGATCCACTTGGTTTTTTTTATTTTTTATTTCAATTAGGTGCGGATAACGAGGCGCGGAAGAGTTGAAAAGCCGCGGTCTGGCAGCGGTGGGTGCTCTTTGGTGTCTGAAGGGGCAAAAAAGAAGCGGCCCTCGTAGAGCGCTGATGTATTTGTCAACTTTGGACGAGCACCCAACGCAGCAGCACCCACGGCTATTAAGGGAGCATAAATTAGGTGCTCCGGCAGCCAAACAGCCGGCATGGCAAGTGGTTTGTTTCAGCGCCCCACGTGCTCCGAGCGATGGGTGCGCTTAATGAGCTGGATTGGAATAAACACGGAAAAGTTTGTAAAACACCTGTTCCACTTTTATTTCACCAAGAAACACACCTGGGCAAAAAGCAGATTTTTTCATCAAATCAGAATTAATTTTTATGATTAATTCAATCAATAGCAAATCATTTAAAAATTGAAAAATTGTTGCAAATATTTTGATAACTAAAAAAAACCTCAAGTTGCTGAGCGTAATTTATTTTTTCATTTTCTGTTTTTTTTTTCCAATTTAATACATAATTTTTTTGATCAAATTTCCTTTTTTTATTCGTAATTTTATACATTTATATACATTTTTTTTATGCGACTAAACTGTTGCAAAATAATTGTGTATTATTAAGAAAATAAACAAGTGCGATTAAATAAATTACATTTATTTAATAAATCTACAACAATTTTTAAAAATTTGGTGCCTTAAAAGTTCTCGTCTTGCTGCGCTTATAAACCATTGCGTCTCTCGTATCTCATTTTCACTCTTTATTTATTTTGAATTTAAATAGAAATAGAGATGCAGTTGTCACAAAAACATCACACCAACTTGAAACCTTCTGATTAGTTCCGGCTCCGTAGCAAAGTTCGTCATTAACCGAGACAGAGAGCGGCCATATTTACTTGAGAAGTTGCTCCACACAAAATATAACATAATCACGAAAATAGCCTCGGCCGAAAAGTGGCTGCATTCCCCATGAATGGAGACGAAAAACGAATATTTATGACTAGATTGGTCTGAATGGATGGCGGAGCGCCGCGCTTAAATTAATCAGGGGCTGCTTTTGGAATTCCAGCCAAACACCGTCGTATTAATGAATAAAAAAGAAGAAGTCTCGCGTCGACCGTGAACTGAGAGACTTGAAATATAATTCCAAACACTTGCTCTCGCGCTCACGACATGTGATCCAGCACTAATTTTATAGATGGCGTGATGTTTAATAAAAAGTTTAAACGCGCTGACTGCGCTGAAAATCAGTTATTTAAAAGCTGCGTAATGTTTTTTTGTTTATCTTTCTTGACCTTCAGAATCAAAATTTCCCAAAAAAATAACTCATAAAAGAAGGGTCTAGCAATTTTCTCATAAGCTTTTTTGCTTAGGCAAATGTGCAAAGGAAAATTTAAAGTGCAAAAAATGGGTAAAATGAAAATTCTCATTAATTTTAGAAAATCAAATTTTTAGATTAATATATTAGTCACGTGATGTGCTCATGAACAAAAATCGCGAGAAAAAAGGTTCGAATTACATCGATAAGGTGTGATTAAGTCCTTGCTATGTTATTTATGGTCCTCTAAAAATGGTCTTGAAAAATTATGTAACCTTTTTATTTTTATGTGCGAAAAGATTTTTAATTTTTTTATTGTTGGTAAATAAACATCTTGAATTTGGAGGAATTTTCTTGAAACTAACGGCAGTGAATTTCATTTAATGCTTGCTGCGTCCTGCTTAAAAGGCTTTTTATGAATCTGCTCTTAAAAGATATTACATTTGTCGCAGAATCGTTGCATGAGGTGTTGAGGAATGTAAATTTTACTATTATTTATTCTACTCACGTCAATAAAAAATATTGATGTGGGAATTTTGATCAGAAAGGGTATCACAATAAGCAGACGAAGCAGAGTTCTGCTGAAACGCGCGACGTCAAAGGAGATATGGCTTGCCCCGGGATTTTAACATAAAAATTACACAAAGAGTACATAAAAGAAACAAAGCTTCTAATTTTGTTTTAATTTTTTATATTTTATAAATTTACAATCATAATATTGTATTATATTTGATTATATTTTTACCAACATAAAATTATTTTTTAACAGTTAAATACATATATATATATATATATTATAAATTTCACTGTTTTTATTTTTTGTATGAATGTGCATGACAATGTATAGTAAAATGTTTATTTGATTATTATTATTTTTATTTTATATAAACACGTGTAATGAAATATGCTTAAAGACAGAATTAATTATTCTATAATACATCTCTGTTCCATATGACGAGCAAAAAAATTAAATTAATTGTATAAAATTGAAATATGAAGTACATATAAATATAAATATAAGAAAAAAATGTCACGAACTGATATCAGAATTGCAATCGCCAGATATAATAGAGGTGGGCATCAATTTATTTGCATATATTTATTTATGCCACAGCCAATTCGCGAATCTGGCTCGTGTTTCATCACGTTCGCGTCTCCACGTCGGTGGTTCTGCTCAGCAGCAGATTTCAATATTTTTTTGCGCTTTGGCTGCGCGGAATAAAAAACGGCGGACCAACTAACGAACCGCCTTAGTTAGTTGGTGTTCGTACGCAGAGGGCTAAAAATATCGCCGCGTGTTCTGCGCCCGAGAAAGAGAGTCGGTGCGTTCGTTAGTCGCTCGGTGGCGGCAGCAAAGCAGCAAGGATAGATCTCATGACACCGACCATTGGCTCGGCGCTTGTCTAAGCGCTCGGTGCTCTTGTCAGAATAACCCTCTCTGCACTCTGAGAAAAAGGTGCACCACTCTACTTGACCAGGTGGGTTGCAGACTTGCAGAGTCACGTGACACAATATTCAATATTTCGGCGCAAATCAGGTCAAACCTTTTTATTCTTAAATATTTTGGCTCATTGCATTTTTTTTCATGTTTTATATTTTTCTCACCAGTTTTATTTCATTTTAAATTTGCAGTAGAAAATATTTACTCTGAGTAAACAGAACTCTATTTTGAGCAGCGGACAGAACAGACACTCTCTTCTGCAAAGAGATCTGCTTGAACTGGCGGCATTTAGCCTCTCGTAAATCAAAGTCCGTCATGCTCCAGGACGCAATTTTATTTGCGCTACTGGCAGATTTTTATTTCCATATGACTCATCGCTGAATACTTTTGGGCCAAATATAAAATTACAAACCTATTCTGCCCTAATTTATTCCTCACAACAAATAATCGGTGTCATCACCTCTTTCGAGTTTATCTTTAAGGTCGTCGTCGCATTCAGAATAGAATCAGCTGCTGTCGCTGTGAATTATTTCTCACGGATTGGCAGATTTTTCCCCGTGTGCTGGTCAACTAACCGCTCTAATGACGCTCTCTAAATTTAGAAACCGCGGCGTTCCTCATTACCCTCGCGTTTTTTTATATCCTTGATGAAATTATTTCTTTCTAGGCTTCGATCTTGCGGTCGCGACGGAAAATTGTCTTAGTTAGACCAGAGTGAAAAATTCCTGGGAGAGAATTAAGCGTCAAAGGGAATTTCAATTAGCGCCGATTGTTATTGAAAATGCGAGACGCGTAAATTGGTTATTTAGTGCGACAACCGCGGCAGAGTAGTGAGGACTGAATTTGAACGATGGGCTGTGGGAAATATTTGCGCAAGCTCTTGAAGCAAATCAAACGAGCTAGACTCTGTTTAGGTTGATAATTAATTTTTAAATCGTGTTAAAATGATTTAATTGTGTTAAACTCATATTTAATGTTTTAATTTAAACTTTATTAGGATAAACAAATTTAAAATTAATGAAGTAAAGTTTCTTATTGCTCATTTCATGCTGCAAGAAATGTAAATTTTGGGGTTTAATTAAATAATTTTATTTTATTAAATAAAAAAATGAAATGACGAAGATTAATTAATTTTTTAATTTAAAATTAATTAAATTTTCATCTGTTTATTTGCTGTAATTTTTACCTTCTTTCTGTTTTAGGTGTAACATCTGTGATAAACAAGTCACCCAAACTCGAGGGCAGGTCCACTGGTGACCTGCCAGGTCAGGCGTCGCCGCGAGCAAACAAAACCCCCATCCAGAAACCAAAGAGAACCAAATCCCAGTCGGCAAGCAGTTCCAAAGCCTCCTCCCAGCAGTCCGTGGCGTCCGGCAGGAGCAGAAAACCATCAGTTTTGCCTCCAACCACCCCTGATTTGAGCAGCTCAAACGAAGACACCATCAGGACTGTCGTAAAGCCTGTCCGGCGGAATTCAAAAAAGGCCAGAGAGCAGTCGGACTTTGCCAAGCTCCATCAGCCGTCGCCCAAATCGTCACCAAAGGTCGCCCACGAGCGTCTACAAAGGTCCGAATCGCAGCAGGGTGAAGAGGTCAAACACGCCTTCCAACCCTTGCCAAGGTCAGCGTTCGCTCCACCCTTGGACTCTTTGTCGATCGACGACTCGGTGCTCAAATTGATTGCTGCCCATTTGCCGCAGCTTTCGACAGTTTCAATTCTCTCAGAGCCAAAGGCACCCAAGAAGACTCGAAGGAAGAACTCGGAAGAAAAGGGCACAGTTGACCTTTCTGTCCTTCCTGCGTCGTCGATCAAATTTCCCGAGGAATACCAGAGTGAGAAGAAACCGGAGGAAATAAAAGTACTGAAAAGTGTTGAGGAAAGATCGGAAGAGCCCGTCAGTGAGGAAAAAGCAGAAGAAGTAAGAGAGGAGCTAAAGGAAGAAAAAGTTGAGCAAGAAAAACGTCCTGAATCGTCCGAGCCTGAACCAGAGGCCTTTGAATTCGCAGCAGCTGCTGCTGAGGAAAAAGAACCTGAACCTGAAAAGGAATTAGAGGAAACTGAAGATACTTTAGAAGAACTAGAAGATCAGTCGGAGGAGAGTCCAGTGCCTCCGCCGCCGCCAAAGAGCAAGAAGGACGGCAAATCCGGATATTTCCACACCGCGCCGGCCAGACCAAACAGACACCGAGCGTCTGTGAAAAAACGAGCACCACTACCGCCAATAAATAGTGGCAGCGAAAAGGCAGAAGAGGACAGCAGCAGAGCAGAGGCCAGCGCAGAAAATAGCCAGGTAGAACTTAGTGTATTTTTTTACTCTTTAAATGAGCGCATGCCATATTTTTAGACGTATGGAATTCGTTCGCAAAGTATAATTTTTACGTTGTAAATTTAGATTTTGTCATTAGTGATAATTATAATTAAATATAAACCATGGTGATTTGAATTTAAAGCTGGCTTTTCCTTGATGGGTTTTTTGAGTTGTTTATTGTTTAAGAAAAAACTATTATCCTTCTCTACCTGTTTCGGCTGCGGGCTGCAGCCATAATTCAAGAGCTGTGAAATCATTTTGAAAAGAATTAGCAAGAAAACAAAACAATCTGTTAAAAAATATTTTTTTTTTCAATAACACTTTTGTGAGAAAAAAAATTTAATACAAAGGTTACATTTTTACACAAAACAATTTTTTATCACAAAATTTGATAATAGAATTAAAATTTTTTTTAACAAAATTTAATTTTTAAAACGAAACATGTAGAGCAGGATATTGTTTTCTGCTGAATCAATAAACACCCCACAAAAACTCATCGAAGAAAAGCCAATTTTAAATTCAAATCACCATGAATCAACCCCTCGATCTTGAAATTTTACCACTAATTGTAAATATAAACCGTTTTAGAATTTGTCAACTAATATTAATATTTCATTCAAAAGTTATAAATAAATAAAATTGATTAAAATTTTTTGTAGGGATTCATTACAATATAGTGGTTACAATTTCTTGATATTAATTAATTTTTAGTTACAATTAAATCATATTATGCAAAAATTTTATGAACCTCCCTTTAGCAACATTATTTGCATGGTGTGTCGCGTGGTGTTTGTTTATTTGTTCAAGTCCAGGCGTTCATAGAGCTGCCTCCTGCTATCAAAAAATAATATTTTCTCTGCACTAACCCAACAAAATATAAATATTATATCCCAAGAGATGAGAGACGAGAAGCAGTATTACAAACACTTTCGTCCAAATCGTCCACCTGCTCAAGCCGCGCGCTTGTTCTCATTAAAAATATACATAATCTATTTTTTTTTAATATAAAAGTCCCCGGCAGCGAGTGACAGAGAAAAACGAAAATATTTGTGAAACGCATCCATCCACCACGTACCACAACCACCAGTATAAAACTCACCCCCCAAGAGCGTGCAAAAATCCATAAAACTAGACTAGTCGAAGAAAGATGATTCTGGGCACTGCCTACTTCTTGTTCGCAGCTTGAGCAGCTTGGGATCGGTGCACCTGGTGCCGCCGCCACCTCGACCCCTCCACGCGTGCCCCTCCGCAGACACAACAGCCTCAACGGACCGCGCCGGCCGCTGAGCGATGTCGCCCCAGCCCCGAGCACAGAGGAACTGATCTACCAGTGGTTCGACGCGATCGGCGACGCTCCGTCCGCTCCGCCCAGACAGCATGTCCGCGGGCCAGACCCGATGAACAAGCAACCGCAGGCCAAAGGGTCGCCGTCCATCTCACCCTCGATCTCGTGCACGTCGTTCGAAGACGCGGTCGCCGCCGCCGACGCCATTTACTCGGAGCGCGTCGAAAAGCACTTTGCCAATTTGGACTCGGCGAGCAGCGTGACGACCAGTTCGTCGTCGACGGCCACCTTCACCTCGAGCGTCGCCAACCGCAGCAAGGACAGCGGCAACCGTCGCAGCGGCGGCGGCATCCTCTCGTTCCTCAAGTGGCTGCGCAAGAACCCCGAGGACTCGTCCGAGTCGGAGGAGCAGCCGCAGGTAAATAGCGAGGGGCAGCTGCAGCCACTCAGTCGCTACAGTAGCACTAACAGCCTGGGCACCGTAGTCAGTGCCGCGAGTAGTTTTGCTTTCGTCAAACCCGCTGCTTACCCTCATAACAACAGGGCCAGTCTGCACTACTCGCAGCCCACCGAGTCCGACACGTACCGGCTGCGACTGCGCCAACGCGACAGGTCGCGCATCCTCGACAAAGGTCTCACCTTCAAGCGCAAGTACAAACTCAAGCAGTTCGCCTGCAGTCAGGAAACAGTTTTTTCAGAGACTTTCAAGCCCTTCGCAAGGGGGAAGAGAAAAGCGCCCGCACCCCCTGTGCCCAAGAACGAACACTACTCGGAATTCAGTCTGCCCATCGCGCTCGAGCACCGCAAAAGGATGGAGATTTTGGAGCCAGTGCAGGTCAAGTTGCACCGCCGGGCGGCCAGCGAGTCGTCCAAGGACAAAAGGGCCGGCGCCTATTGCCACGTGAGGGGCAAGCGGAAGGCCCCGCCGCCCCCTCCGGGCAGTAGGCAGAGTCAGGTGCTCAAGCCGGTCAACAACTACCCTTCGCTGGGCAGGAACAAGAAGCGGCAGGCGCCGACGCCGCCCCCGGTTCAGGAGAACCTTTCCAGGTTGAGCCCTGACGAGAAGCAAAGACTGATCAACTGCATCAACCGCGCCAGAAACAGCGCCAGTCCTCCGAACAACCTTCAGGGTCCGGCCCTGATCACGGCGCCGCCGATCATTTTGGCCGCGCCCGAAATGCCGCCTCAGCAGAGCGCCCCGCTTTCCCCGAAGCCCTGGTACAAAAGGTCGGCCAGCAAGTTTATTCCCATCAAGCAGTTGGGCAGCAAAAAGGTCGAGGAGGAAATGCCTGAGGTCAACTACGCAAGGGTGCTGCCCTCGGAGCAGAACAAACGCAAGTCCATGCAATTCCAGGCGCTGACCAAGTTCTCTGACATCGACAAGGAGGCCGCCGCCCTTATTCAAAACAACCAGATGAAGGCGGCGGAACTTTTGGCCGCGGAAAACAATCGGTACTACATGCTCCCTGCCGAGGTTGAGGAAAAGAAGGAGGAACCTGCCGAGGAAATCAAGCCAAACGAAGAACCGAAAGTTGAGGAAGCCGCAGCCGCTCCGCCAACTAAGGGACTGATCTCAAAATTCAACGCACTGTCCAACGTGACCAAGGTCACGGTCAATTCTTCCAAGGCGGCGCTCGTCGGCCTCCTGATCAACAATGAGGGCGGCAAAGGGCAGAGCAAAAGGATCTCACAAGTCGAAGTGGAGTCGGAAAAAGTAACGGCTGTTGAGAAAAAAGACAAAGTGGAGGTTGTAGAAGTGAAAATCGAAAAGGAGAAGGAGGAGGCAAAATCCACGGCCACCCTTTACCCAAAATTGACCGCCCTTGAGGCTCAGCCCGAGCCAGAAGACCGGAAGAAAACCCCTCTGCCCCTGTCCATCCACGGAGTACCTGAAGGAGTGACCCTGAACCGCCAGAAGAAAAAGTTGTGGGTCTGCCCGCGGTGCACTCTGGAGAACGAGAACTGGCGCTTCACCTGCGACGCGTGCAACATGTGGCGGCCGAGCAAAAATCAGGATGAAAATTCTCCGGAGGCGCCTGGCGTGAATACAGTGGAGGAAGCGTCCAACTCGATTCAAAAACTGGCCAACGACGTGACCAAGGAGGAGGAGGCATTTAAAAAGCCCGAGCCCATAGGGCCCATCGACTGGGAGGCCGAGCTCAAGCATTACTTCCCCGGGAATAAAAAGCAGTCGCCAGAGAGGAAACCCGATTCGCCAACCAAGATCAACGCCAAGGTCGCCGAGGCCATCAAAATACTGGAAGGCAAGCAGTCGCCCACACCTGGACCTGTATACGTGAAGGCGCCGGAAAAAAAGATCGAGCCTGCCAAGAAGCCCGAAGTGGAAAAACCAACTCCTCTCTACGCAGTTTCCATGAAAAACAGCAAACCTTTTGTGATGGATGAGGTGAAGAAAAAGGTCGAGGAAGAAAAAAAGGTGCCAATTGCAGTTCCGGAGACGTTTATCGGAGGAAGGACAGAGGCAGATGAGAAAAAGGCCAAACCTCAAACTCAGCAGACAAATAAGGCACCTGAACCAGGGCACGCTGTGGGCACCAAAGAGCCGACAACCCCGAAGGACGTGGACGAGATGCGAAAGGCCAGATTGGCCTTTTTCAACAAGGAGGAAAAAGTGGTCGAAGCCAAACCGCCGGCAAGTCCTCGTTTGTCCAGAGCTGTGCAAACCCCGGTTCCACTTGTTCTGCCTCCCAGTCCCAAGGTCGGCAGGACGGCTGAAATCGCCACAGACACAAGTGGCCTCGCGGTGGTGACCTTGAAGGAAAAGGGCATGGCCGTGGTCGCAGCAGCCAACGCTGCGGACATCGAGGAGAAACTTCGCATCAAGGAGAAGCTGAAGGAGATGAAAAATTCGCTGCCCAAGGAGGCGCCGCAGCCGATGAAAGCGACGGAGCCCTTCAATAAAGGCGCCATCAAGAAGTCCCCTCCTGCCCTGGATTTGAAACTGGCGCAAAAACCCAACAAGGTTTCCTCTTCGGCGCAGACCAGTGGGGCCATCGTGAAAGCAGCCACTGCTCGCACCCCTGTCAATGGCTCGCCAGGTGTGGTGAAAAAAATAATTGCCAGGAGTCCCTCGTTCAAAGGAAACGGGACTTTTTTGCTCATGGGACCCAAAGACTTTGCCAGCATCGAGGCCACCAAGTCCAAGAGCTCGCTGGTGCCACCTGAGAAGAGTCTGCAGCATGTTTATGCCAACATTCCTAGTCCAGGACTCGTCCCAAGTGGGAGCCCTTTAAATAAGGTGTGCTATTTTCAGGCTTTTTACTTGGCTTTTAAAACAAATAAATTTATTAAAAATTTTTTAAAAACTTTTACCATTTTTGTTTCAGAATGATCCGCCAAAATTGGAGGTCAAATCTCCTGAGCCTGCTGCCGCCGAACCAGCGCCTCTTCCACTCGCACCAAAATCACCATCACCCAACATGAAGACCCGACCTGGAATCAAACCTGTCGTAGTCAAAGTGGAATTAAATGCTCAGACTGTTGAGGATGAATATGACGACGATGACGAGGAGGAGGAATTTGACGACATCCCTGATGACCAGTCAAGCCTGAGCGGAGCAGCCGATTCAGGTAGCGTGGCAGGAAGTGTTGGCGACTCCAGTGATATTGAGAAGCTGGCTGGAACTTTGACAGGTGCCAAAGGTCTAGCAGATTTCAAAGGTATTCAATTAAAACAATAAAAATTAGATTAAGTTTACTTGAATGTTAAGTCAAGTATTAATTTAAAAAGCTTCAAGTTTAATGTTCTATTTTTTTATTATTTATTTTTTTAAATTTTCAACATTGATTATTTTTAATATTGTATAATTTTAAATTCTAGCTGATCTAGGTGCCAGTTTGCCCCAAAAACCTTTATTATAACAATAAAAATGGGATTAAATTTACACGAAATGATTAAAAGCATCAAAATAATTATGTATTGTTATAAAATTTTTAAATCCCATTTTATATTTTATTTTTATTCTTTTAACTACTAAATTATATAATATTGATTAATAGTTCTATGTATATAAATTTTAGCTGATTTGGCTGCCAACTTGCCTCAAAAACCTCAAAACACCCTGGCAGTGAATCGTCTGCTTCGGCGCCTGGAAAACGCCATTTTCAATGGTCAGCACAGAATTGCTGCAGGCCTTGCAAGAGATTTGGCCAGGCTGAAGATCAACTGTAAAGTTGAAAGGCAGCGAACAAAGGTCCTCGTTGAGCCAGAGATGTTCACGTGAGTATTTTTAACAGTATGTTCCACCATCAAATTCACTAGACATTGTAATAAAGAATGATAATTTAACCAAATTTTGTATTTATAAATTTTTAATTAAAAATGAATTTTTATTTCAGAGTTGACATGTATGTTGAGGACAAGGTTTCCCATCAAGGTCCAATTCCCTTGAGTGTCCATGCCGGCATGACTGTGGGCGAGCTGAAGGGCAAAGTGCATCAGGAGTTTGAAATCCCAGCCGACGTCCAGAGATGGATTCTGGGCAAGCAGTTGGCCTCTGATGACAACAAGACTTTGAAGCAACACAGCGTTGCCACCGGCGGATGTGTTGTTTTCCTCTACCTAGTTGCTCCGCCAGGTAAGTCAATTAAAAATTAATGCTTTAATTTGTTTCTACAATAATTTTCTAATTTATTTTCAGAGAGAACAGACAGTGCTAGTCCGGCTTCAAATTCTGAAAGTGCCGCCACCCAGGTGGTTCCGACTCCTCCTCCACCTGCCGAGGACAACAAGCGCATTTTACCCCCAGCTCCTGAAAATCAAAGGGGTCCTGGGTGGTACTATAATTTTGAGGAGGACCGGTACAGCTACTGCGAATCCTCAGATGATGAATCTGACCCTGAAGAGGAGCCAAAGCAGGTTATGCCGAAAGAGCCATCGCCAGTTCCTGAAAAAGAGAAGTAATTAAACAATTAAATTTCTTTCCTTATCCAAATTAACACAATAAATGGTTGTAGGACTCCATTGCCAAAATCACCAACGCCTCCTTTAGCTGAACCTGAGGAAGAAAGCTCAGACGAAGAGGAGGAAAATGCTGCCGGGCCGAAGGCCGCAGCTGCATTTGAGCCAACAGCACCACCTGCAACTTTGACGCAGGAAAAGAAAACTGGCACACTTCAGCTTGGTCAGTTAAAATTGACTTTGACCAAATTTCTATTTTAATATTTAAAATTTAGGTTGGACATGTCCGCTGTGCACTTTGATCAATCCCCCGACTAGACCTGGCTGCGCTGCCTGCACGACTGATAGGCCAGCCAACTACAAAATTCCAGTTCAATATGAGACTTCTGACCAAGAGGCCACGAGACTTAAACAGGAAGAGGAAAATGAAAAGGTAAAATTAGGAAATAATATTTATTATAATTATAATTTATTATGGTGATTTGAATCAACCCTCGATCGTAAAATTCTACCACAAAATATAATTTATTATATTTAAAATATATTTTCCTTCTAGGCAATGGATGCTGACCAGGCGACTCCTCAAAATGCAGCAACCAACTACGAAGCCCTGGTGGCGCTGGACAAGATGGACTTGGTTGCCAACGTCGAGCCCTTCGAGTGCCCCGTTTGCTTTGCAGCCTTTGCTCCTGGCGAGGGTGCCATGCTGAGGGAATGTCTGCACACCTTCTGCAGACCCTGTCTGGCGCACACTGCCCAGTTCAGTGAGGAGGTCGAGGTCAGGTGCCCATTCCGCAACGACCAGTACATTTGTGATGCCACCATGCAAGAACGAGAAGTTCGAGCTGTGAGTTTTAGTCTCAAAAAAAGTTTGTCACCTCAAAATAAATATATTATTAAAATTGTTTTTTCCAGCTGGTGCCTGCCGACATTTATGAGAAAATGCAAGCCAAATCTGTGTCCCAGGCAGAAAATAAAATACAAAATGCCTTCCACTGCAAGACCCCTGACTGCAGAGGTTGGTGCATTTTCGAGGACAACGTCAACGATTTCAGATGTCCTGTGTGTGGTCATCACAACTGCCTCACTTGTCAAGTAAGTTATCAAACTTTATAAATATTGGAACTAATTTAAATCAAATTTTTTATCTACAACTTCTTTCGTATTTTGAAATTTGATCAAAGACAGGAAGAAGTGGAAATTGATGAATTAGATTTTTATGTTGCTAAATTTCTCATCTCAAAATAAATTTAATTTTAGGCTATTCATGATGGAGTGAACTGCAGGCAGTACCAGGAGCGAGTTACCCAAGCGTCCGAGACCGACGCTGAAGCACACAAGACCAAAGTCATGCTTCAGGTAAATAGTGTTGCCTGTTGAATGTGTCATTTCTCCTTTTTAAGTGCAAGTGTTTGTCTCTGTTCATATTTTCATGCACTTTCTCAAATGAATGCGTGATCATTGCACTTTTCCGTATGCCCCTCATTTGTGTTTTTCTTTTCGTTTTCCCCCAGCCTCAGTTTCTGATTTAATGTGCCCCGGCATAGGAAATGGTTGAGCGCGGCGAAGCCCTGTGTTGTCCGACCTGTCAAGTGGTGCTCTTGAAGAAGTGGGGCTGCGACTGGCTCAGGTGCTCCATGTGCAAAACCGAAATATGCTGGGTCACCAGAGGTCCAAGATGGGGTCCTGCAGTAAGTAGTGTCCTTTGCTTTATTTAAATTTGAACTTCAAATAATTTTTTTTTCTAAATCTAATACAAAATTCCAAATTTTAGGGAAAAGGTGATATCTCGGGAGGATGCAAGTGTGGAATCAACGGAATCAAGTGTCACCCCAAGTGTAATTATTGCCACTAGAGAAGAGAGCCACGCCTTACCATAAAATGCGCTCTCTTTGTGTATTTTTAAGACAGAAATTTAAAGTTTAAATAATATGGTGTGCTAATATTCTGTGATAAGGTGCACTAATTTTGTTTGTTGGAAAAAGCGCTCTTTAAAATTTAACAATTTGAATGAAAGAAAAGGTTGACAAGTGCTTTGCAAGTATAACACTCTGATCCATTGTTGTGGTCTTTCTGCGTTTTTATGAAAATTAAATTTAAAAAACTAGTATTTTTAGGAATACTTCGACATTGCCGAAATATGGAGCTGAAAGCTGAATTTTTTGCTGTAATGTAAAATAAAAATTTATCAGATTTGCTAAAAATAAAAGTCGTTTACACTGTACAAATGAAACTGGCGACGGGTTTGATTTTGAAATACTTTTATTTCATAATTATGCTACCATTGACAAATACATTTCATGTATATATACATCGTTTTTGCATTTAAAATTGTCCACTTTTATGCACACACATTTACAACGTAGAACTTTCTGCTTCGTCATGCATTTTTATCTTTTTCGCGTTAACATTTATTACAGTCAGCTTCGATAAAGAAAGCGCATATATTTGATATATATTTTATTCAGAAGATCTCAACAAAAAGGAAACAAAAACATCTCGCAAGTTCAAAACAGAGAATTTAATTTGTTGCCACAACAAAATCGTCACTCTCAAATAAATTAAAAATAATTAGATCATAAAGTTTAATAAGAAGTAATACTGGACATCGATACTAAATTAATAATCTCTTGATACTTGACATCCGAAAATTGCATCTTTTGAAATTTGGAATCGTCTGGAATTTATTGTTAAACACAAACGAGTAAAGTGCTTCGATTTAAGTAGCGCAATAAAAGTAGAATTTTTATCACAGGATTGTCTTCCAAAGAATCATTCCTCGATGGAGAAGATGTAATGAGAGGCGATTTACAAACTCAATCATAATAAAATTAACGCCTCGACTCGAGGCCGTTGGGGAAGGAGGAGAAAGCAGGAGAACAGCGTGCGTGCCATTAATTCCAATCAATCATCAATACACAATAGTAACAATAATGAGACAACAATGCACTGAATCAATTATCAATCAATCGTCCTGTGAAGACGAAGGATCATCACTCTCACGAAAAATGTTCTTTCTTTCTCCCGTTTTTAGACTAGTGATATTTTACGTTTGTGTGTGTTGTGTGTTGTTTTTATATAACCATGTAGAAATATAGGAACATTTCCGCCGCTGATCCGGAGACACGTACGTGAGTGTGTTTTAATTATTAATTAATTAATTACTCTCTCTGTCTGCTTTACACATTACACTTGTTTTTTCCCTTTAATAACACACCTGTCGGTCGTTTTATTTAATTAAAACTGCTGCTTTTTTACACGATAATAAATATATAGAGATTGCACATCAATTGTGTTGTTACACGAGTAGCGTGTACGTGTTTGTGAGGGTGGGTGGGTTTTGTGTTTCTATCTTACACGAACGAACCGCGATGATGGTTAATTGATACATAATTAATACTGCATGGACACTTAGTTCGCGTCAACTTCTTCACCCTCGGACTGCAGACCCTTTGAATTTCAGATCAATGCAAAAAAAAATGCAATATTTTATTTTTCAATCAAATTTAAATGCACTTTTAAAAAGGGGTGAATTCAGGGCAGTCTGAGGGTGACGGGGCGACGACCCACTGCTAGCCAGGTATTTTTCATTTTTTTTTTTTTTTAATTGTAAATTGTCCTTTTTCTTAAAACACCGAGAGTGAGAGAGAGATATGTGGAGGTGGCGCTCAGGCGACCAGCGACTCGCCGCGGTGCTGCGGCGCCTCGGAGTTGTTTTGGGCCGGCGGCGACGGCGACAACGACATGATGCCCTGCTGCGTGGACGGCGGCGAACCGCCCCCGTTGCGCTCGGCAGGCGAGAGGCGGCGGTAGTGCATGTCCCAGGCGGAGGCGGTCGGCGGGGACGCGGCGTGACGCACCAGGGACAGCGGCGACGACTTGTCTTCGGGCGACGGCGATCGCGACACCTCGCCAGAGGTCAGACCCAGAGGCTTGTCAAAGTGCTGCCCTAGCCCAGGGAAGCCGAGATGGTGGCCGTACTTGTTTGGGGGCGACGGCAGACCGCCCGGCGGCGTCGACGACTGGATCACGGAGATTTCGTTCAGCTGGAGACAAAATATTTGCTAGTTAGAATACTTTTTTTTCCAAAAAACAAAAAATAAAATTAAAAAACTAAATTTAAATTTAATAAAATTAAATTTTTTGAATGTATTAAACTATAGGACTATCGTAAGTTGTGGAAAAATGTGAGGTAATTTTGACAATCCACATAGTTGTAATTGTTGTTTTTTAATCCCATGAAAGTTGATTCAGTAATTTTTTTTCTGGTTTTTCAAGTAAATAATTATTTTCAGTAATTATAAATATTTTAATTTATGGTCCATGTCGCGCATGCAAATTATAATGGCATCAATTACATCTATGCATTATGAAAAGTTGAAAATTTAATTGATATCATCCATAGTATATTCTTAAATTATTTAAAATAATATTGTTACTAAATAATGTGAAAATGGATAATTAAAATACAAGTTTAATATCATATGAAATTTATTCAATTTAATTTAAAACATAATTTTAATAATTTATATTTTAAAATTCTTACATAATTTATAAATCATTTTAATTATGTGGAAAAAAACATTAAATCATTAAATAAATATGTACATATTAAATTGAAAAAAAAATTATTTTTCCAGCAAAATTTAACTTATTTATTATTTGATCAATATATTATGTTGTGTTTTTCCCCCAAATATAAACTGATGATTTCTTCCATTGGATATTTTAATGATATGCTTAAATGTTAAAAGAATAAAAAAAAAATGCTAATTAAAGACACGGACCTTTTGCTGCATTCCGTTGAGGAAGGGCGCCGGCAGGTAGGGGTAGAAGAGGTCAGGTCGTCGCTGCAGAAACTCGGAGTCCTTGGGCGTCATCGGGATGGGCGGCAGGTCGAGCGACATGCGGCGTCCGCGGCGGGAGGCGCCGTTGTTCCACATGTGGGTGCCCATGTGCACCTGCAAGCATTGCTAAACGTCACCCTTGACTCTCTGCACGGGGTCTCGATCAGTCAGCCACCCAGCAAAGGTGGTTTTTACACAAAACCTTGCTTTATTGCGGCTATTCCTTACTAGTGTAAATGGAGATCTCTCCAAAGACAGATTCATTGGAATAAAATTTGCATTAAACATTGTATAGATTCAATTTTGCAAATAATATTTTAAAATTATTAAAATTATATACGTATATTTTTAATTAATTGCAAGGTTAATTTTGGTCATACCTTAAGGTTTCCCTTGGTAGTGAAGGCCTTTTGGCAGACGGTGCACTTGAAGGGTTTGTCTCCGGTGTGCGTACGCATATGGATCTGCAGGGCGGACGAAGAGGAGAAGTTCTTATTGCAAACGTGGCACAAGTGCTTGTGCAAGCCTGTAATACACGCGCAAGCTCAGCAAACTTCACGCATAAGCAACTACTTTCTTTCATTCACTCCGTTAACCAACAATCAACCCCCGACCGCCAAAATCCAGCTTTAATTAAAAGCTATTTTTATTGAATTTGATTTTTGCTGAATTTTAGTGGATTTGCAGCCATTCAAATCACCTTCTAGACTTTTTTTCAGTGGATTTTTCTTCTTCAAATTATTGTATTTTTTTTTTCTAGAATGGTGATCAAAACCATGCATCCGGTTAATAATCTAAAAGACCAGCAACATAAATAAGGAGAAAATAAAAAGATAAAGTCCCTTTTCTTGCCCGGTATTAGTGATTTTGTTTCGAAAGTTGCTGGTTATGAAAATTTTGAATGAAAATATAAGCGTCCAAAAATTCACAACCCCCTCGACAGAAAGCAAGAAAGTTGCAAATTTTCAGATTTGGCGAATTAAAAAGCAGCGGAAGCCTGGATTAATCAACAAATTCTATTTTTTATTATTTTAATTAAAGTAAAAATCCACCAGAGATTAATTAGAAATTGAAACTACAAATTATTAAAAGGTCGAGAAAACACAAATTTTGTTCAGTTAAATTTCCAAAGGGAATTTGCTCAACCTTTTTTTTTTTTAAACTTTGTTAATTCCACCAGACTATGAGAGAGTTTGAAATAAAACGACAATGTGGAAATGAACTCACCAGAAGGTCGTTTTGCCATGGGCAGGTCATCCTCCGGGGGCGACCTCTTGAGGCCCAGGTCGGGCGAGCGGGCGCTGATGTGTGAGTCTGAGGTGGGCGTCAACGGCGCCTTGTCTTCCAAGCCGTCCTCCGAGTTGCTGTTGCTGCAGTTCTGCAGGGGCGGCATTGTGAGGTGCATCGGTGGCTGCGGATGGGGCGGCGGCGGCTGCTGTTGCTGCTGCATCAGGGAGGGCCGGTGGCCGTGCGACATCATCTGACTGGCGTGCATCAGGTCGCGCGACTTGTTGCTCGTGTCGAAGAGGTGCTGCGGCATGTCGCGGATCTTGTGGGTCAGCATGTGCTGCTTCATGTTGCCCTGGAACCGAAAAAAACGGAGAGGATTAATTTTGTTCTTTGTTCAAGCAGTGCTTCCTTAAATATCCTCATTCAAAACATCAACCTCGGAAAGTAATTTACATCAAGAAAGAACCTCAAAATGTGACCAGTTTCAATTTAAATTTGATTTTATTTTTTGGTATTTGGTATGAATAATTTTGTTTCCCAACTGCTAGGGTCAATTTTGTAATAAAAAATATGAGCAATTTCTTGGTATTTATTTATTTATTTATTTTTTTAAATGACTCATGCCTATAATAATTTTTTGTAATTAAAAAGTTTATATGTTAAACTAAAATTATTTGGAGAAGAAAAACTCAATTGGAGTATTTTAAAAATATTCCAATATTTTAAAAGTAATTTCATATTTAAATTTTTTGTGTGCTAAAATTACAATACAAGACAATTTAAAACTATTTGCAAATGCTTCCATCGCCAGACACATACATGAAAGTCTACAAAAATCCGCACCCTAGGCTAATCGACCCAATCAAAACACTACGGAAAGAGTCAAGGAAAACGAGAGGATGGAAGAGGACGAGGATGAGTTGGAAGCGCCTGGAGTTTGGCGGTGCACTCGGCCCGCGCGACAGCCGCGCTGCGCCGGTTGCATAAGCCTAATGTGAGAGAGATTTACCGGAAGGTGGTGCCTTGCTAGTGGTGAAGTAGCATATCCAGCGTCAAAGAACAGGTTGAGATGGGAGTAGGGGAATCTGGCCGTATTTCCGAGAGCGTGTTTTCTCTTGACTCTGGTCGGGATTTTGGGGCGTTTTGATTTGGGGTCAGGAGGGTGCTGGATACGCCACTGGTCACAGACGCAAGGAGCGGGGTTGGGTGAGTGGGGGTGAGTGAGACGGGGCGAGTTAGTCAGGGTGGCGTCCCCGTCCTAGAAGCACACCGCATCACACATTTTTTTGATTTCGAGATCCTCCACCAGTTCAAATTTACACAAAAAAATAGAGATGACAGAGTGAAATAAAAAAGAACTAAAATGTTTTGCGTACAAAAGAGCGGAAAATTCTTTCGACTCACGCTAACCACACATGTGCAGATTGCGAAGCAAGAAAATTCAGAGGGCGATTCAAACTTTACCCGTATCATGACGAGAAAAATAATTAAAATAGAAAAAGATTGGCAAATTTAAAGTTATAATTTCTATATATTCTCTAAAATGATAAATTTTCTATTAAAATTTTTATATAAATTATCAGTTTGAATCGCCCTAAGCGTGGACTTTTAGGAACTCACCTTGGTCGAGAAGCCGCGGTCACAAATGGTGCACTTGAAGGGGCGCTCTTTGGTGTGGCTCCGGTAGTGGATCTCGAGAGCCGAGTTGCAGGCAAACGTCTTGAAGCAAATGTTGCACGTCGTGTTGCCGCGCACTGTAACATTGGGACCACCTGGTTTAAACAAACGTCACATTAAAACTTGGGCTCAACCGCAATTGAGAGATAATTAATTCTACAATATATGTGTCAGTGGAATAGGCACCCCCGCAAAAGTTTGGGGAACATTGAAGCGTTGGTAATTGTGCACCGCATAGAACCACCGAAATTAAAATTAATCCAAAAATGATTAGGAAGCGTGATAAATAATAATTTAATTATAATTCATGCAGATGTGTGTTTTTTCTCTCTCCCGTTTTGCGTCTGTGATCGATTTAACCAAGGTGTGAGTAAACAGAGAAGAGGATGAACGTAAAAGGGCCGCGCAGCCTCGCTCGCAAGCAGAATTGGCCGCCGATATTCAAGGTGAGTGTTTTATATATTGACGCCGCGTGCACGTCACTCTCGACGTGCTTTTTTTTATTCCGAGTACAAAGCAGCAGCACCGGTCGAATAATATTCATTTCTACCTACACAATAAATTAATCCGCCGGCGATATATTTATTTATGTGTATTCAAATGGCGAAACACGTCCGCGGAAAAAAAATATATATATTGCTGCTTATAATCTTATAAGTCAGGGGACAGGCTTAATGGCCTTTTTCCTCTCTGTGCGCCACATTTTTATGCTAATTTCTCCGTACGAGAAGTCGGCCGGCTAATTTGGTCATTAGCCAGCCGCACCGAGTGTGCCTGTGTTGTGCTTTTTGCTCTCACTACAAACTACAGCCTTCGGTCATGCTACTTGAATATAAAAACACGGGCAGCTAATGCAAATTAACGAAACTAAATCAAACGAGCCACCAATCATGCGCTGCGCAACACATTTCGAGGCCGACCAACGAAAGGTGCGAGAATTGAACTAAAACAGCGACATTTCTACACAGCGCCAAGGTACAGAAGGGGTGAAAAAATAAACAGGGCAAAATGTGTGGAATTCAGAATTTGGGTCAAGGATGGTTCGGATGATAAGGGGTGAGTTAAATTTCGTTTCGTGTTCCCAATTCCAACCCCCGTGTTTTTATATTCGGAGCAAATTCCCTTTTTACAATTTATTTTATCTGTCGAGAGCGATAAAAAAAGTATAATATATTTTGTGCTGGAATTTTGTTTTTACATCCAACCCGCTTTTCTATGTGACTTTCAAGGACAATCTTTATCATCAAAGGACAGGGGGTGGAAAGGATGGATTTGGGAGAACGAAAGAATTAAGCAGCCTAATGTCGCAAAGATTCCTATCAGTCTACCTGGAGGCCCGTGCATGGGCGGCAGTCGCGCCAATAAGGCGGCCGCCGAGGCGGCGGCCGATGCGAAATTGCCGTTGGCCAGGTGCGGGGGCAGACTCAGCGCCGGCGGGGAGGCGAACAGGGCTGACGGCGTGACGCTGCTGGGCGCCGAGCTGCTGCTCATCACGCTCGTGGGCGGCGAGTTTGAGATCTTGGGCGTCAGGTCGAGCGCCCCGAGCGAGTTGCTCTCCGAGGGGCTGCCGCAGGACCGCGCCAGGGCGGGCGAGGGCAGGGGCGACGACTCATCTGCAACCGAGGGATGAGCCACCAAAAGTTCTTCCTCATCATCGTCCTTCTCAGACTGGTCGCTGGCCCCGTCATCGGTATTTCTACGGCCGAGAGTCGGGGGGGAGGAGGAGGAGGGGAAAAACGGCGGGGGCGGCAGGGAGTCCCCGGCGTGCTGCGGCTGCGTGTGTACGCGGAGATGGGCCGTCAGGTTGCCCTTGGTGGTGAACGCGCGGCCGCACGCTTTGCATCGGTACGGCCGCTCGCCCGTGTGCGTGCGGTAGTGCAGCTGCAGGGCGCTCCGGCACGACAACACCCTGAGGCAGATGACGCACTGGTTGGGGCCGGCCGCCAACGAGTGCTCGTTGAGTCGCGAAAATCGGTCTACGCTAGAGGGTCGGGGCAGAAGGGAGGCGAACGCGCCGCGGTCGGGGTTGAACGAGGAGGTGGTGCTACTTTGTGACGGGGAAACAGCGCCAGAGAAGGGATCAATCGTGTTGTTGTTAGATGATGAAGAAGAAGCAGCGTTATTGTAAACATTGTCAAAGTAATTACGACTGACTTGAGAATTAATGAGCGAGCTGTGCCCATTTTGGTTAGACAGCAGATCGAGAAATGAGTTGTTACTGCCGATCTGCTCGTCAGCGCTTGTTTTTTGGTTATGATCGATTATTAGACAGCTACTAATGTTAGTTTGTGAGTTGGGTTTAGGATTCTTACTGAGGTTCTCGGGCTGCTCGTGTCTGCCGACGGCCTGGGCGAGCAGCGATCTCTGCGAAGACTCGTCGTGGTCGACGACCAACGCCGCTGGAGAAGGTTCTCCTCCTCCTCCTCCGGGCACGGCGTCCTCTTCGCTAAAGTCGCCGGCGCGGCTGCTGCTGCGGCCGCCCGCGCTCAGTTCCTCGTCGAGAAAGGGCGGGTTAGACGAGGGAGGTCGGTTGTCGTGGTTGGGGGTGGTGTTTCTGGGTGAGGGGGTTGTTAGGGGGTCCTCGCTGGTGCGTTTCTCGTTTTCCTCGTCGTCCGAGTAAACGGCCTCCGCTTTGACGCGCGCGCTCAGCGGAGGCGAGGCGGAGCTCGCGATGCTCGAGGGCCGCGGCGCCGGTTTGCTCAGGTTTTCAGGTACGTCCTGCTCGGGCTGGTAGAGCTCCCGTTTGAGGTGGTGGTGCAGCGAGAGCGGCAGGTGTTGCTGGGCCTGCGTCGGTGGAATGTTGGCGGCCGGCGGAGGAATTGGTGCAACCAGGGTGGAGGTGTTCAACAGAGGGTGCGAGTTGGCCCGAAAGTGGTGCGAAGAGGGAATGGGGATGGAGGGTGGGTGCGAGGAGGTTGCCTGCGACGGCGGCGGGAAGGGCGGCAGGCTGGAGCCGATGATTGGGTGAGAGGAAATCAAGGGTGGCGACGACGACGAAGGGTTGTTTTGATGTAATTGCGCTAACAGTGGTGGGTGGTATTTGTCTAAGTGTTCGGGGATGGGGTTTGGATTCATTTTAATATGCGGGAACTTGGACGTGTGTCTTTGGAAATGAACCTTCAGATTGCCCTTCGTGGTGAAACGACTACCACAAACATTGCATTTAAACGGTCGCTCACCTGTGTGCGAGCGGATATGGATCTGGAGCGCCGAGTCCGAACCGAACACTTTGCCGCAGTAGCGGCAGCGGTGCTTGAAGAAGGGCTCGTTGCCGCGTTTGCCGTCGCCGTTCTTGCCGCTCTTTGAGCCGCTGCTGCCTCGGAAGGCCAACTCGTCGGCCAGGTTGCCGGCCAGCAGGCCCTGACTGGCGCTGTCCAGCACTTCCTGGGCGCGTCTCTGCAGCATCTCCAGCGAATTGGGCTCGTCCAGTGACGGCAGAGGCTCGGTGTTGGTGATGATGCTGGCGGCCAGGGACGCCGAGATGGAACATCCGGTCACTCCTCCCGTCTGGTGGTGCAACGGATGCGGGGGGATGATCGAGTTGGAAACGCACGACGGCGCCGAAGTGGTCGGTGGGGAGGGCATCCGGGGGGATTCCTTCATGGGAGGTTTGGCGATGATGGGTGTGTCTGCGTGGGAGATTGTTTGGGCCCTGGACATGGGCTTGTGAAGAGAGGTGGCTGGAAGGGCCGTGCCCTGAGACGAAGGTGACGGCTGCATTATGCGGTCTTTGTCTCGCTCCCTTTCGCGGTGAAAACTGGCCGTCTGCATGGGGACGTTGGCCGAGGACAAGGGTAGACTGGAGGGAATTGACATCGGTGGTGACGGTGGCGTGAGAATGTCGTCCTGCTGGGACCTGGGAATTGACGCTGGCGACACCGGGCTGCCCTCTTTGCTGTCCCTGTTCAGGGTGAGCTGCTGCTGCAGCTGCTGGATCAGGTTCATCTGGAGCATCTGCTGGTGCTGCAGGGTGTACAGAGTGGACTGGAGCACGGCCAGTTCCTGCAGGGCTGCAGGGTTGTTTGCACTGTTGGCCAGGGCGGTGGCCGCAAACTGCGCCACGGCCACCTTTGTGTTCTGCAGGGCCTCCAGGGTGACCGAGTTGGTGAACAGACCGGCGGCTCCGGGCAGTCCGCTCGAGAGGGAGGCCAGGGCCGCGGCGGGATTTGCCGCCGCCCCGCTGGTCGAGAGGTTCAGCAAGGGAGCGAGACCCATGACGTTGGCCATTTTGCTCGGGTCAAACTCTTCAGCGTCCTCCTTTCCAGGGTTGGTGGGGGCACCGTTGTTGTTTTCGGCGTCCTGCAGGCGACGTCTTTTCAACACCTCGCCTCCATCGCGCTTCTCATCCTCGACTTCTTCGCCAGAGGAAACCATTGGTTCTTCGTCGTCGACGAGCTTGGCGCACGTCGGCTTGTGAGCCATGTAGGCCGCCAGATTTGTGAAGTCGACTTTGCAGCGGCGGCAAGAGCGCTCGCTGTTCGGGTCTGCGTCCTGCATGTCCTCGCTCTCTGCGCCGTCATCTTCCGAGGCCGAGCACGAGTTTTCATCTGAAACAATGAAATTGATAGATTAAAAATTGCCGATGGAAAAATTAAAGATAAATTAAGGTAATTAATTTTTTTAAATAAATATCCCAATTTTTAAGTTTAATTTTCTTTCTTGCACATCTTTTTCATAGATGTAAAATATTAGGTGGGTTCCAATATCAGAGAAATGATTCTCGCGCAATGATTCAATTGCAAAACGATTTTCGACTGTAGTGAGTTTCCATTGAATTTATTTTTTTTTTACTGAAAACAGAGGAATTTTCAATGTATTTTTAATTGCTTTTGAACTTAATAAAGTAAATTAAACAATTCTGAAGGTGCACAAGTCAATTATAAATGCATAGTGTGGAGTTATTTAACAAAAATATTTGCTATGAAAATAAACATTTGATTAGATCAATTGGAAATAAATTATTTTATTTTTACAATTAGTCCGTTAAAAATTTTAGTCAACCAAAATATAGTAAGATATGTATTTATAAGATTATAATTATTTTTATGTATTAATACATAAAAATAATTATAATATTATAATTAATTTTATATAATTTATATAAAGTTAAAAATCCGCTTAAAATTTTTATTTAAATACAAATTTACTTGCATGCAAATTCAGTACAGTCGAGCATCGTTTTGCCAAAATCATTTCTCTGATACTGTGACCCACCCATAATTGTGATTGATTTATCTTGGTTAGTTTTTTTTTTCAATTTAAAAATTGTAAGTGGCGTTTTTTGATAAATAAAAAACCTAAAAGTCTAACGATTCCTGGAAACCGGCCTGCAAACGTCATTATATTTCTGTTGTATTTTAAAAATTTGGGCGTTTGACTTAGAAAAATATATTGTCAGGCGCGGGTGTAACAACAGGGCACCCAAGCCTGCTGCATAATAGACACAGCAGACAACGGAGCGCTGCTCGCCGAGCCGCTGCTGTGTGGTTTGATTGAATAATAAACATCGATAAATTATTCCACAGTTCTTTTTTCATTCAGCTGTTATTATTACGGCTGTCACGGTTGTTCTAGATGAAACGAACCATCTGCCTGAATGCCAGCTTTTTATATATATCGGCCCCGAAATGTGTGTGTTTATCCGGCATTGTGTGCGAGAGATTCACCTGCTGAGAAGCCCACACCGTTTCCGAATTAATTTAATTGTAAGCGACGCTGACCGATCCACTGCACGAGTGCTGTTTTTTATTCAAATTTCCAAAAGCGGCAGCACTTTTGTCGTTTCGCCGTCGGACTCCCGGCGTGTTTTGTCGCACATTTGGAATCGCAGGCGACGGAAATAGAATTCGCACGGCCTTTTAAGACTCAATCAAGCATCGCAGTGCGCGATGTCACGTCTCGCGAAGAAATCATTTCTGCGGCCGGCGCGCTCAGCCGTGTATTTACCTGCTCTCGGATTTATCGCCTGCCGACCGAGATTTTTCAGAATCCGCCTGTTTTGTTGAAATAATACGCGGCTCGCGCACAGGTCCAAATTTTAAATAAACACCTAGCTCGGCAGGCTCAAGTAGACAGCGATTTATTTTTACTGCCTCGAGAGAGAGAGAGTGGCGAAGAGGAAAAAATATACGTAATATAAAACACGCCGGCTTAGCAGAGAGTATGGCCCGCCGATTGCATCAATTTAATTAAATTTATTTTATTCGCGGGCGTATCAAAAATAAAAATAAAAACACTTGCGAATTTAAAAATTGGCACCGGAGACAAAGCTCGGGGGATGTTTTGTTCGCCAGAGCATAAAAGCTTTCTTTCTTCTTCTCTCTCTAGCGCGGCTGTTGCTCAAAATTATATATTGTGTCTGCTGCCATTATAAAAGTATGCGAGTGCTTTGTCTTTTTGTTATTTGGCCAGCGTTTACTTTAGGTGAGATTTGAGTCGAACGCGAACATTTTATAACCGCTAAAGCAGAGAGAGCGGTGTGTGATCCTAGCCAGATGAGTAGCGAATGCCGAATTCTCTTCTATTCTGATCGCGGCCGGCAATGCGAAGCATGCAGCAAACTTACTTTTTCACAACTTCATGCCGCTGCTCAACTCGCAACGAAAATAAAAGAGAAATAAATATCAAACTGAGCTGTTCAGGCTCAGTCTCGCCAGATATTATATTCGGGGGCTCTTTTGTTTTCTAATACCAGAGCACCGCGCGCGTTCTTTCTTTTCAGATTTAGAAACGGCAGCATCAGGCAGTTAAAAATCCATCCGCCCCTTTTCATTCGATGGTCCCCTCATATGATTATTTGGTGATGAGCACACGGCCCTGCATTTTTATAATTCAACCGGCTGAAGCGATTCTTTTTTATTTCGTTAAAGGCTGAATGCATTTTCGCCGAGCAACACATGTGGAAAAATATATACAGAGCGGGGTTTTTTTTCAGCGTTGGTGCAATTAATTTTTCGCTTTGAAAAACACAAGCTTTTTCGTGGAATAGTTAAAAATGGTGCAAGAAAAATATTTTTCTTTGAAATCGTAAAAATGCTGTCGTATTTCCATCTTCGCCGCCCTTAATATAGAATGAGGGTGTTATATTTGTGAGCTGCTGGCTGCGCGTGCAGTTGTTCTTTGCATATGTCTGCCGAGACTCGTGCGAGTGCGTCTGCTGGAAATATATTTTCCATATAAATAAAACAGCGGCACCGCCCGGCGCGACCCTTCTTGCTCTCAAATCTGCCTGTCAAAAACGTACAAAACGAGCTGCGGATCAACGACAGTCATATCGCAAGCTGCGCCGCAATTTATATTCGGGAGTGACAGGAGCAAACGTTTTCGCCGAAAATGAGCAGTATTGAGAGAGAACGTGTCGGCGACGAGGGCCCGTTAGTTTTGACACCTCGCTCGATCGAAATGAGCAAAAAATGGAAATCAAGCGAGCCGCCGCACAAGTCATGTGAGAAAAGGAATAAAGGCCAAAGCTTGGCAAATTTCCAACTTCGAACGAAACTGAAAAAGCATAAAAATCAACCAAAGTTTTGGCAATTTTTTAATCACGAAAGAAAATAATTTGATATATAATATAGTATTTGTGAAGTTGTATTTTAATAATAAATTGAAATGTTCCAGTATATTATGATAAAGTGATGTGATCTTGATCTTAATACAACTGCATTCAAACTTCAAACACAATAGATAGATTTCTGTTCCTTAAAAAAATTTAATTAGTATAAATAATTATTAATGATGTGCAGTACACGTGGTTTGGAACCTATTATTATTTCTGATTTTATTTATATTATGTCATGGCACGATCATTATTTAAATATTTATTTGTAAAAAAGTAGATATTTTTTCAGTTTAAACGCAAGTAAAAAGAAGTTAAAATTTTTTCATTACATCATTGCAAAACTAAGAAAATAACAAAAAAAGTAAATGTTTTAATAAATTGTTTTGTAAATAAATGTTAAATTTATGACGTTTTTAAGTCAGAAATAATTAATATATTTAAATACTTAATACCTTATAATTGCCTTGAAAATTTGCTGTACATAGAAAAATAGCGTAATCGTCTGAGAAAGGCGCCTTTCAGTTGTAAATTTCTGCGGTTCGCGCAGGAATCCACGTACTCGCCGTGTTATTACTTGTTTGCCGCACACGTTAGAGGAGGTAATCTAAAATTTCGATTTTGTTTTTGGCACCCTTCCTCAGCGGCCCGGCGCGTGAGGCGCTCGCCGGCATTTCTCATCCGCGTATTAAGAATTCTAGGTATAATAAAATTTATCGCGCATTTCATCCCAGCAGCTCATTGTTTTCGAGAGGGATCTAAAACTGTTTTGTTTTAATTTCACCGCGCGCATCCGAGCCGAGCACACGCCTGAAGAGAGCTGCTCTCTGCAACGCCGGCGGAGAGTTGCGCGGCGGCGGCTGCCGCAGCAGATATATCGCTTTAAATGTGCATAGTAGCTTTAAAAAATCAATAACGTTTTATTCCACTTGTATGTTATACGGCGGCGGCTGCTTGGCTGCGGAGAGCGCAAATATAACACAGAAGCCTCGAGATTTCCTTCGCATCCGCGTGCACCGGCAATAATAATAGTTAAATACGTTTACAAAACACGGCGCGCATATAAAAACACAACAACACCGCCGAGTGCATTCTGCCGGCCATTCGATCCATGCAGTTGCTGGAATTGAATGAGAAACAATGGGGTTTCGTTTTTCTCAGTAGCACGAAACTCGCCAGAAAAAAGAAAACAAAAATGTGCCGAAGGAGTGTCTTTTTAATGTTTATTTATTCTAGTAATTTGGATTGAATGAAACGGATGCAAATGTTGATTTGGCAAAGAATCAAGCCTGGAATTTTTTTGTTGATTAAAAAGAATTTTTTTTTCATTGTGATTTGTTCATTTTGCCTTATATGCAAAATTAAAAGAGTTCTGAATTTTATGACTTATTTTTGTATTAGGGACCACTTGGAAATGATGCTATAATTAATTTATCTAAGAAAAGAATAAATTAATGAGGAATTTCTATACCTCATTTCTTCAATATTAAATATCGGTAGATCTAGGCAACTGAAATAATTGTAATAAATGCAACACGTTGTTCATAAATTGCACAGTTTGTTTGCAATTAAGTTTTCCTTGTCAAGCAGTTTGCATTTTTTTTCCAAATTTCGTTGCCTGCGTTTCTGAACTGTAATAAAAATACCGTTTCCAATCATTTTATGAACAAATATTGATAAAATTCATTGCTTCCTGGCCATAGCAATTACTTGATAGAAATTAAGCAGCTAATCCAACTTCGATCCCCTATGATTTCAAAGTACTTTTCAACACTAACAATTCTCTCCCTTATCATTTTTATCATCTAAAACACTCTATTGTGCAAGAACAAGGGTCTTTAAAAAAATTTCAAATCCATTTGTGCTCCTTTGTTCAGCTTTCCTGCCTCGGCAGCAGTTTTCCTTTGTTATGATTGGCAGCGTCGGTGCTGTGGGAAAATTTCATGCGCGCGCTTCGGTCGCGGCGCGATATCAAAATATAGAATATCATAC